ATATGTAGAGTATAACAACAAAGAAAAAACTGAAGCAACAAAACAGCAGCAGAATCACAGAACCCAAGAATGGACTAATAGTTACCAAAGGGAAAGGGACTGGGGAGGATGGGTGGGTAGGGAGGGATAAGGGGTGGGGGGGAAGAAAGGGGGCATTACGATTAGCATGTATAATGTGGGGGGATGCATGGGGAGGGCTGTGCAACACAGAGAAGACAAGTAGTGATTCTACAGCATCTTACTACACTGATGGACAGTGACTGTAATGGGGTTTGTAGGGGGTACTTGGTGAAGGGGAGAGCCTAGTAAACATAATGTTCTTCATCTAATTGTAGATTAATGGTACACACACAAAAAATATCTAACCACGAATTTACCATATGAACAGACTAAAGGAGAAAAAGAACCCAGAGCAAGAAATTGTACCTTCGCTGATAATAGAAAAAGCAGTTGATAAAACTGGACATCAATTTACGATAAAAACTTACAGCAACCTAGGAAGAGAAGATAAGTTTAACTGGATAAACACATGCCCAAAGCCTACAGCAAACATTACATTAATAGAGTAACTTCTGGATGCATTCACATCAAGGATGCCCATTATCATCTCTGTTTAACACAGTTTATATAAACCATCACTCCCGCTGACTAACGCAATATTAGAGATCCCAGCCAAGACGGTAGGGGAAAAAAAAGCAGAAGTTTAGAAATTGGAAAGTTATAAAATTCATTTGTAAGTGGTATTATTATTACTTAGAAAATTCAACAGACAAACCATTAGAACTAAAGGGAAAAAAAAGACTTGAAGTTTCCAGGTATAAGGTTAACCTACAAAATTAACACCACTGTTCACTATATAAGCAGTAACCAACCAAAGATAAAATTTAAAAAAACAAAAACTATGACATATCTAACAATTTTAAAAATCTTTTTGAAGTACTACAATACATACACAAAAGTACACAAATCATAAGTTTACAGCTTGAAGCATTTTCAGTAGCTGAACATACCTGTACAAACAGCAACCTGAAAGCCCACTCATGCTCTTGCCACTGAACAAGGGCAAATACTATCCTCACATCTAACACCCAACTAGTTTTGCCTGCTTTTGAACTCTATATAAATAAATTCATATAGTATGCATACTTTTTTAAAAAATAAAAAAGGAGAGAAAGAGACCCAAGAGGGGATGAGTATGAAATGTATTTGCAAGACATTCCTTCTTTCTCCTCCTGGTACACTGTATTTCTTTTCATTAGTATAAGCTGTTATTATTGTTACAATAATACCTTTCAAAAAAAAGTCTTAATAGCTACAATTCTAAAAAACTTTTAAGAGTCTGAGCTTCAACTCTATCATTTTTACAAACTGAAAATTTCTAGCTATATGCATTTTAAAATTTTACAAGAAAAAGATTATTTTGAAATCTTCTATTCAATAAAATTTTACTTTCCTCCATCAGCTACATTTTCCAAAGAGTTATCACAAAAATGATTAAGGAACAGAAATAGATTCAATAAAATAAGATGAACTGAAGACATCAGTCCCTTAGACAAGAGCTGCCTTGGCTACAGATGGGGGAGGGGCGATGTCTTCAAATTCTGAAAGGTATTCTAGATAGTTTAAATATTTACTTGCCCATAAAGAATCATATCCAGTGATGCCTCAAGCTCACTTTAAGATCTAGTATTCTATGTCTACATCACAGTTCTGTCTCCAACCCCAAGGAATTTTTGAGACAGTGACCAGAAAAGGAAATCATATTCATGATAGATTACAGTGCTTCCAATGTGAGGATATCTGATGCTAAGCCTCTTTGCAGCTCTAGACACTGACCCTAGTGTGCTGGCTATGCTCCAAATCCCCTGCAAAAGTTTGGTGGCTGATTGGCTGACTGGCTGGTATAAATCCAAGCATCTACCCTCTCCTGACCTATAAATCAGAAGCTCTGGAGGTAAGGACTTGGTGCAAGTGCATGTTTTAAAATTTCCCTAGGCAATTCTAGGCATAGCCAGAGTTGAAAACCACTAACAACACAGCTGATTAACTAAGTTTCTTATTTCACAATCACATACCTGCGAGCCAAATTTTATTATAAGCTACAGAACATATGCCCATTTGAAAAAGTACCGGTCACAATTTAAGTTGGTAGATGAAGCACAGTTTACTTAAGAACATTGAGCTAGGAGTCAGAAGGCTGTTTCTGACCTCAACTTTGTGACGTACAGTGCAACAGCAGAAAAGTTAGCTTTCTCAGTATTTTTTCATTTTTAACAATAGAAGAGCAATACCTGTTCTGCCTTCCTAAGATTATCATATCCATAAATGAAAGAATAAGTAATAAAGACATCCTAAACTATAAGTAAGGCACTAAATTTAGTCAGAATCAGTTGATTACTTGGAGTTATTGCCAACTATACAGACAGACTCAAAATGCTGAGTGCCTGAAATGAAACCAAGACCTCCCTTTATCAACTAACCAGGTAACGAGCAAACTCTTGTAAGGTGTGACAACTTTGTGGCAGTTGCCTCTATTATGAAAAACAGGCATGAAATACTCACTCTGACCAGGCATACCTGCTTTTATTTTCTACTTCCCACCCTTTAACTCTCAAACAATTCCTTGCAAGTTAAATCCTAACCACATTCAAATACAAAGGTCAAGTACTCAATTTCTGGGGAACTAGTCCATTTTCTTCCTAAGAAAATATACTAAGAAAGACAAACCTCAGCCACAGTACTACGAATACGATCCACCACCTGCTCAAAATCCACCAGGCTGAAGAGTGGCTGCTGCTTGAGGCGATGCAGCTCCGCAGCAAAAGTGTCCTCTTGGTTTTTCAAAATGGATCCTGCAAAATAGGAAGGTACTGTCAGAGGAAGCCAGAGAATAACAAGAGCAGACGTTTTCTAATGCTGGTGGGGCAGCTCCTTCACCTGTTTCTAAGGTATCCAAGGTTTTATCCCATATAAAGGTTTTAGCAACCCTCAGTCAAGTGCCATCAGGAAGCAGATGATCCTCCTTCTACAGTATCCTCAGAAGGTCAATTTAATAGTAGCCTAGTGCTATGACAATACCTCAGTCATTCATCTCACTTTATCTTTCACATAGGCATTTTATCATCCCACATCATTATAAGGGTTACAGCAAGATATTTTGAGAAAGAGACCATATTCACATAGCTTTTATTACAGTAATTGTTGTAATTGTTCTTATTATTATTGATCCCTTAGTGTGCCTTTTTTATAAATCAAACTTAATCACAGGTACATATGTACAGGAAAAAACAAAGTTCAGATCTTCGTTCATTTACAATGGGATTATATCCTGTTACACCCAATGTTAAATTGAAAATAACTGCAAGCCAAAACTGCATTCAATACATCTAACCTACCAAACATCATAGCTTAGCCTAGTCTACCCTGAATGTGCTCAGAAGACTTATATTAGCCTATAGTTTGGCAAAATCATCTAACACAAAGCCTATTTTATAATAAAGTATTGAATGACTCATGCAATTTATTGAATATAGTACTGAAAGTGAAAAAGAAAATGGTTGTAAGAGTACAGAATGGCCGTACATGCATGGGTTGCTCAGCCTCATGATGGTGTGGCTGACTGGGAGCTGTGGCTTGCTGCCACTGCCCAGCATCATGAGAGAGTATCCCACCACAAATTGCTCGCCTGGAAAAGGATCAAAATACACATTCTACTGAATGTGTATCACTTTGGCATCATTGTAAAGCCAACAAATTACAAGTCGCACTATTAAATCGGGGATTATGTGTATACATAAGATTTGGTACTACTTAAGGTTTCAGGCATCCATTGGGGATCTTGGAATGTATCCTCTGCAAATAAGGGGGAGTTGCCATACATAAATATTACTAGTCACTCACTCTGATCAGGCATACCTTGAAGCCACACAATATCAGTAATAAGGGCCTCTGAGGATGGGGTATGTTGGGCAAGGAGATTCCTACCTTTTCTAGTCAAGTTTACATTTTGATTCTCAAACATCTGGACAGATTCTCCAACAAACAGGATTTTTTCAGCAACCCTCACTGGGATGTAGGATGGCAAAATCTCCACCCGCAGGGAAAACTGCTTTAGAGATGGTGCCAACATGTTCTCTTCTTCTATCAGGCGCTAGTCAAGGAAATAATCTATATCAGAGATGACATTGAAGTAAAAAAAGGGAGAACAAGGAAACATCCTGTAATTCTTCCAACCCATGATTTACATTTTCTAGAAGCAGGGACTTTAAATATGAAGTTGCACAATTCTTCAATTGCCAGTGTTGGAAAGACAATTCCACTTTCATGTGGCAAGACAGCATGGTGGAAATAACTGGTGTTTTTAACACTAAGATTTTAGTCCTCACTCTGCCTTTACAACTGTGGAAAAACTTACACAGTAGCTCTGAAACTCAGTTTCTGTACTTGTACCTGGAATAATTGGTCTTTATTTTTTCTGGGTCTGTGTGTCTATTACTCTATTTCCTTGTGTATAAGTTTGCTCTGCCCAGCTTTTTATACTAGCCCAAGGCATTTAGTCAAGTGGTTCTCAAAGTGTGGGTCCTGGACGAGCAGCATCAGCCTCACTTGAAAGCTTGTTAGAAATGCAAATTTTCAAGCCTTTTCCCACATCTATGGAAAATCTGGGGGCCCAGCAATCAGTGTTTTAAGAAGCTCTCCAAACTGACGTTTGAGAACCACTGATCCAGCCCACGAAGCCCCAGATACCACAGCCCGATCACTCAGGTCTTTCCCATTCCCTACCTTGCTTTCAATTTGACTCTCATCTGGCTCCAACCCACAACTCTGGCAAGACAATCCTGACTTTGATCTCTGCTGTTTGCCCTTTTTCTTTTGGACTTCAGGGCTGGTTTTCCCCAGGGCACTATCCCAGCTCTGCTTTCCTCTCACTCTCTATACCGTTCTTATACAATCACATCATCTGTGGCTGAACTATTCATCCTAACACATATTTTTAAACTTCTTTCCTCACGAGACTCCCTCCATTATAAAAGCTATGGACCTTCAGGATAAATATACACACATACATTTCACAGAACCTCCTAAAGCTGATGTGGACCCTGGATTAACAAGTTCAATATGCTGATGGCTCTTAAATCTTTACCTTTAAGCTAGATTGCTCTCATTAGCTCCAGGCTTGGCCCACTGGACATTTCCTACAAGTACCTCAAACTCACCATGTCCAAAATTAGACCCGTCTTCTTTCCCTCAATACCAGCAATACACATTCCTTATCATCACTACTTGACTAGCTGCTGAACGCAGAAACTTGGGTATCATCCTTGATTCTTTCCTCTGGACTCATAAATCAATCACTAAGGCCTATTTATTCTACCTCCTAAATAACCCTCAAGCCTTTCTCATCTCCATTTTTGGTGATACCATCCTTGGTTTAGGCCACTATCAATTTTCACCTAAGTGTCCCCAGCATTCTCCTAACTGACCTACCAGCTGCTAACTTTGATTTTTTTTTTTACAAACAATTCCTCACACAGTATCCAGAGTGATCATAAAGTCTGATCGTGTTAACCTCTTGCCTAAAATTCTTCACTGGCTCGCAGCTTTTTTAAGGTTCAAGTTCAAATTTCTCCCTGTTGCTTACAAGTGTTTTCCATGATCTTACCTCTGCTTAACTCAACAGCTTCATTGACTGCCACCTCCTCCATCCCTTCCATTTTCCCCTATACTTTTTCTATTTCAGCCTTTACTTGACCGTTGCAACTGAATTACTAACAGTCCCCAAATGAGCCATGTTCTTCACGGCTTCTGTACTTTACACACATCCTTCCCTCTGCCTGGAATATTTCCTGATCTCTCTTCCCAAACTCTTTGCAATTTGGACATAATTCCCACTGAAAAACCTTCTCTAGTTATCCTAAGGCAGTGTTCTGAGAACACCCATATTTACTCTTTCCAGAGCACTTAATATACTGTAATGTTACCATTTACTTTTCTGTATCTTCGACTAAACTAAACGTTCTTTACAGACAGGCCTACTACATTTTATCTAGCTATGCAGTTGTGGCACCTAGAATAGTGCCTGGTACAGAAAATCCAGCTCCAGATGTTGCTCAGACAAGGATTTCAACCCATCTGTCACACTGACGAAAACACCCATCAGCAATCCGCAACTTAGCTGCAGCCTCCTTTATGCTCCACAGCTGAGACAGCTTGTGACCCCTCCTCTCCTTGACAGACAGCAGCAAACTGCGGGACCCACAGGCAGGGCCAATGCCTCTCCTCAGCAGGAGGCAGTGACAGAAGACCACCATCCATTTTTCTTTGAAAGATTTCAAGAGTACACATTCCTTGAGGGAATGTTATAGTAGGTGGATAGCCAGATGTGAGCAGGGAGAGGGTTGGGGACTTTGGCTGGTGTTTATATTCGATTAATTGCTTGTTTATATTCTAAACATTCTGTGTAAACTGTTCTGCAGGACATGGGCAGGTGGGTATAGATACCAGACCTGCCAGAACTGACTGGTTCCATCATGGAGAAGTTGACCCTGACTTCACCTCAGAGTATATTATATGCTCATTAGCACACTAAAAATCACACCCCTTGGCACCTTGACAGTTCTGAGGAAGACCATCTAGGGACAAAAAGAGGGTGTCACCATATTTTCCCAGAAATATCCTCCCTATTCCAAGAAAACCCCACCCAATGATATTCTACCCTTGCTTAAACTACAGCTGTAAGACCACCTAACCCAAACCCCACCATGCTGCTCACCTCTGCAGCATGCCAGCACTCCCTCCTTGAGTGTGTACTTTGCTTTACTAAACTACTCTTTGCTTGTTTAAAAAAAAAAAAGAAGAGTGCCTGGCATACTGGCATGTAACAGGCATTCAATAAAATGTTGCAATAGAATAAACGAATGGGTGGATGGATGGACAAGGGTAATTTAGGACTTTGGGGAGTCTAATCAAAACTCCAAACTGCATTTAAAAGCTATAGGATAGCTACATGACTACTGTTAGAGAGAAATACTTATCATTAACTTCTGAAATGCATATTATTGGGGAAAGGGGAAACAAAAGGAATCTCACAAATATATTTTCTATTTTGAAGTCTCACATTAAGTTAGGTGTTAAGTTTAAGATAAAGCTAAGAATTTATGGAAGTGCTGGAGCTATGATGAGCTTGGAAGGGTGGAGTTGGGGGAGGGGAGCTAGTAACACTGAAAGATGATTTAGCTGTAGACTTTTAGACTTTCTGAGTCCTGGCAGGAGTATGCTAGGCTTCTTGCTATGCTCTCACCAAGTCCTGGAGCTCTTTCAATTGCTTTCCTGTCAGTCCACCAATGCCCAAATCCTCCTCATCCTCTTCTGGCTGGGCACTGACATTACCAGAAGATGGACCCTGTTTAATAAAGAATTCTTCATGCTGATCCAAGAGGAGTCCATGTAGCATCCAGGCTGAAAGCTGCTTATACATGACCCCATGACACACGGCCAGGATTCTGAATGGAGAGGCAAGCAAGATGCCTTAGAAGTCCAGTTAGAAAACACCAAACCCCATCACAGCACAGGGAACATGCTTTAAACTGCTACAGTATAAACAGAGGCCTGAGAGTTGGGTGAGTCAGAAGGCAAATGACAAATTAAGCTAAAAATAACTGTGTTATGGTGGATGGACTAAGTGATTAAATTTCCAAACCAACTGAAGTCTGAAATGTTCAATGTTCTGCTGGTCTTTTAGGAGGGGCTTATTTTCTTTCCTCCTTTTGTGTAAAGTTTCCAAACTGATGATTCCTGTTTAAAATTAAATAGACTTAAAGGAGTCTCTTTTTGGCAAATAGAGTATTAAGTGTTTTATTTTTGTTGGACTCACATAAGGAGGGTATATTCTATATGTGAGAAGCAGGTATACCTGAAAAAGTATTAGCTAACAAAATGCAGTGTGGCTGTTGGAGAATGGGATATTCCCATGACCCTAAAGATCACCCCCCAGATAACACTTTAGTTACAAAGGGAAAATATCACTCTAAAATGGAGAGATGTGGCTGGCAGAAAACACCTAAACCAAGTGCTCAAACTTTACAACATCAGCAATGAGACAAGCTTATTTTCTCTGCCTTCTGATATGATGCAACAGGAAACAATATTAACTATGGAGTATTCTTGACAAAAATGTTTAACCTGAATCTAATCATGAGGAACATCAGAAAAATCCAGATTGTGGAACATTCTACAAGACAACTGGTCAGGATTCCTAAACATCAATGTCATCAAAGATTTAAAAAGAAAAAAAAAAGGCAAGGAAGGAGACTATTCCAAACTGAAGGAGACTAAAAAAGACATAACAACCAAACGTGTTATGGAAACACTGATTAGACCCTGGATTGCAAAAAAGAACAGTTTATAAAGAACCTTTTGGGGGACAGCTGGGGACATTCAGATACATTTTGGATATATTATTGGATTAATGTTCACTTTCTTGGGTATAATATGGTATTGAGGTTGATAAGAGAAATACCCTTTTTCTAAAGACATACAAGCTGAAGTATTTAGGGGTTATAATAATCTGCGACTACTTTCAAGTGATTCAGCAAAAAAAAGTGGTATGCATGCAGGTGTGTGTATTTATATATACTTATATATTTCACAGTTTATATGGAGAAAGAAAAAAGATACATCACATGTGGCAAAATGTTAACTGTGAAACTAAAGGATATACAGGTGTTTATAGTACTGGTTTTTCAACTTTTTTGTAGATTTGAAATTTTTCAAAGTACCTTGGGGAGAAAAAGCTTGAGTCTGCTATGGGTAGTATGCTCACTGAAAAGAACCTCTATTAAAAAAAATTTTTTTTTAAATCAAATGGGAAGCCATTCACACTTTGCACATCTGAGAATGCGGTCTATAAAATCTGGTTCCTGAAAATATATAATAAACATGTACATATCATGTTATGTACATAAGGTTTTAGATTGTATGCATAAAACTATATACATTTATATACAGAGACACTGTAGAAGATTTATACCAAAAGTTAAATTGGTGATCTCAAGCAACAGAGATTAAAGACATTTTCTACTCCTTCTCTTTGCATGTCTGTTGTCTATAATCAAAATGCCTTCTTTTTATTAGAAAAAGAAAAGCACAGTAATAGTCTCTAAAGCACATTCTAGAAATTTTCCTGCTCTTCTAAGGATTTACCTGTGCAATAGTTAAAGTGGAGACTGTTGAGTTGTGAGCACCCTCAGAGATCATCTACTCCAATTTCCCACTTAATGCTACACCTTCTTTTTAAAAATAAGAAGAGGTAAATAGATCAAATAAAGTCTTTGATTATACCTTACATATATTCAATTAGTTGTAATTATATCTTATATCCTTTTTTCAGTTAGTATTATTGAAAGTATTTTTACATGTTGTCAGACTACTTATCATTTTAATGGCTTTACAGTCTATTAAGTGTATATATTTAGCTTCTGCTGCTGGTAATTTTCTTATTTCTTGAAATAGTAAATAACACTGCATTATTTTCTTCTCTTGAATAATTTTGTTAGAATAAAATTCCTGAGTGGCACTATGAGATTATAAACATTTTTAAGGACCTTTATATGAAAATACCAGCTATTCGAAGTGCACATGTCCAGACATATGTAATATAAGCATTATCCAGCATATGTAGTGGAAATTCTCCAAGGATAATGAGTTCTAAGAATGAAAATGGAGTATTGCAAGGTCATCTAGGCAACTAGATCCTAGTTCTGATACTCAACACTTTATAACCCTCTTTTTGCAATTTCTGAGCCATCATAGGATTACATGGGCTCCTCTGCTCGCGGGTCTTTTCTAAACAGGTCATAACTTTCCCAGAGGGAAACCTGAGATACCTGAAAATCAAACAGGTGCAAAGTCAAGCCACTTTACGACCACCCTGTACCCAGTCCCCAATGAACCCATGACTTACTTTTCTAATGCACTGCGAACAGGAGGCAAACCTCCACAGCTGTGCTTGTATACTGTTTCCAGGATTTGACAACCATGAATCTGTCACAAATACAGCCTCGTCAAATTGGACTCCATTTTAATAGTTCATGTAACACAAACTCATATTCTATATTCAATCCAGAGGACACAATCCAGCAGAGAATGGGGATAAACTTCTCATAAGACCTATGTATATAGTTTCAATTCTGACTCCAGTTCCAATATGTGTGAGGTTTTTCCCACACCACTAAGAAATTCTCTGACACCAGCCAGGGTGTCCTACAATTCAACTCAATTCTGATATTATCTATCAGGAGATAGCATCAGATTCCATAGGGTAAAGGCTCAGTCCTACAAGACTCCCCTCCACTTCCAAAGCCAGTCACAAGCCCAAGTTGTTACCAGTATTTCTGACCAACTGGCTAATAAATTAGAGATTCTAACAACCCCCTCCTTGGGTTCCACTAATTTGCTAGGGTGGCTCACAGAACTCAGGAAACCTGGTTACTCACTAGATTACCTGTTTTTTTTTAACAAACAATACTAATGGATACTAATCAGTAATGATATGAAGAGAGAGGGAGCGTGAGGTCCTGAACAATGGAGCTTCTGTTCCCATGGAGTTCGGGTGCAGCGTGATGGCACATGCAAGCATTCCAGTTCACCAACCTGGAAGCTTTCAGAACTCCGTCTTTTTGGGTTTTATGGAGGCTTCATTACACAGGCATAAATGATTAAATCACTGGCCACAGGTGATTGAACTCAACCTCCAGCCCCTTCCCCTCTGAGGTCAGGGGTGGGACTTAAAAGTTCTAACCTAATCACATGAGGTTCTCCTGCCTGCCAGCTCCTATCCTTAGGTGCTTTCCACAAGTCACCTCATTAACATAAACTCAGGTGTGTTTGCTAGGGATTTGTTATGAATATCAACATACCTTTATCTTCTTACCATTAGGATATTCCAAAGGTTTTAGGAGCTGTGGGGAAAATGGAAGTTCCTATGGACAGGATCCTCACCCAAACTACTTGATGATATAACTGGCCTGCTGCTAGGCTACTGCTTCCACACCCGTAGGCAATGAGCTATTACTGAGTCACTATATAAAGAGCTCTGCCCAGTGCTCTGCGTGGAGGCAGAGATGGAGGAGGATTATAGACCTGCAAACGGTTGGAAGCATACGTGATTCTAGTGCTTGACCTATCGCCAGGAGCATAAAGCCAGGTATAAACTCTTTTACCCCAAGAACGTTCCACTGTCATTCCTCAGTCTCACTGAATCCATAGTAAACTTGCCCCAGGGCTGAAACCCTCAGGCAAGGCAGGAGCTCTGTGCCAGAAATAGATGAAGGCCAAATATATTTTTCTTTTTATAAATCACAGTATCACAATAGTTGTTCTCGAAGTATGAACCCTCCACCTCCACCTTCCCTACTCCTTACCCCACCTTCACCCCCGCCCCTCACAGCAATGTCAGCATTACCTGGGAACTTGTAAAAAAATAAAAAAGAATACAGATTTTTGGGTCCCCTCCAGACCTGCTGAATCAGAATCTCTGAGGTAGGGCCAAGCAACCTGGTTTTAACAATTTGCTCCAAGTAATTCTAACGAACAGTGAAGTTTGAGGATTACTGCACTAGGGAAACCAGAATCATATAGAGTTGGAATTCCAAGCTGTCTTGCCAATGGGTTTCAGCCCCAGGTGAGTTTGCTATAGATTCAATGTGACCAAAGAAATGACAGTAGAATGTTCTTGGGGTGAAAGGGTTATACCCAACTTTATTTCCAGGAGGTAGGTGTGGATAAAGTGAGAGTTCCTGTGGCCAGGAGTCTCACCTGGCCCTGGTTGACTAGCTCACTGCACACCTGTGGGCAATACATGGCTGTTGACTCTATAAAGAACTCCACCCAGTGCTCTGCGCGCGACATGCTGGCAGGGCTGCAAGGCTGCAGGAGAGCAGAGCAGAGGCTGGAGTGGTGGCAGCACCGAGAACAGAGGCCCAGAGGACGGCTGTGCAGGACGACTGTGCAGAGACACCTAGAGGACGGCTGTGAGGACAGAGGGGCCCAGAGGCAGAAACTGGCTTGCTGCATGCAGACTCACTCTGAGTGAACAGAATTTCCGTGACTGATTTGTGTCTTGTCACTGGGTTTCAGCCCCAGGCAAATTCACTGTGGATTCAATGTGACCGAAGAAATTGACAGGAAAACGTTCTTGGGGTGAAAGGGTTATACCCAACTTTATTTCCAGGTGGCAGGTCAGTCACTAAAATCCTGTTCACTCTCTGTCTGCACAGCTGTCCCACACAGCCATCCTCTGGGCCTCTCTGCACAATTGGCCCGCACAGCCATCCTCTGGGCCTCTGTCCTCAGCGCTGCCACCACTCCAGCCTCTGCTCTCCTGCAGTCTTGCAGCTGTGCCACCGTGTGGCCCCAGAGCACTGGGCAGAGCTCTTTATATATAGAGTCAACAGCCATGTATTGCCACAGGTGTGCAGTGAGCTAGTCTCATCCTGGCACCTGGCCACAGGAACTCATTTTATCCACATAAGCAAAGAGGTAAAGAAAAGTATTTCAAATTAAGGCCTACTTCATACTACTTTATAAGGTACACACTTTTCTAAAAATCAGCTTCATCCTTCTATGTCATTCTGGCTCTTACTTTTATAAAAATTGCTTTATGGAGGGATAATTTACATACCATAAAATTCATCCATTTAAGTACTATTTAATAATTTTTAATAGGTTTACAGCATTATGCAACCATTACCATACTCCAGTTTTATAACATTTCCATTACTCTAAAAGGATGCCTGTGCCTGCTTGCAATCTTCCCTGTTCTCACCCCAGCCCGTATTCTTGACTACCTCACTTTTAAGCTCTGTAGAGCCAGAGCACCTAGCTTCTCGACCACACCCTGGCAGCAATAAAGACTTGCCTACCTGCAATCCCTCTACACATTTTTCACTCTCCTTCCTGTGGCCAAGGGAAGCTGAAAGTCAACTGAGATGTGCAGCTATGCACAGAACCCTTACACTAACTACACTTAGCCAGAACTAACTACACTCCCCTCCAGTTTGGGGAGACAGTTTAGTAGAGTGGTTAAGAGCATAGTCTTTGGAGTCAGATGTGGGTTTACATCCAAGCTCTACCATTTACTACCACCTGTGTGACCCTAAGCATGATCCTTAACCTACTTGACCCCTTAGAGGATTGAATGTGATAATGTATTTGAAGCACTCAGTACAGTGCCTACTACACAGCAAGTGCATAATAAAAGCTCATGTTATTTGGTAAGGGCAATCAGCTTTGAAGGGCCAAACAGCATCTTCCCCACTGAAGGAACGTAGCAGAGTGTAAGTTTCTATACTTAGGCAGCAAAAAATGAAGTTAGCAACCTGGTGAATTAATTTAACTAGTTATATTCATCAAGATAAACACTCATAATAAGATAAGACACAAACATAACAGCTTAAAAACATAAATGAGCTAACATGTTTGATACATTTGTTCTTTTTGGTACAATTATGGACTATCAGATTCTTTTTCTCATGTTAAATCTCAAAGCATTTATTCCCCAGACTATTAACTCTGCCCAGAAGAGACATTCTTCTGACATTGAGGACCCTAACTTTTCAAAGCTTATGGTCAGAAACTTGTGGTAAGAACAAGCATATTTAACTAATAAAATAAAAATTTGGGTTTTACCCACCAATCTAATTCTCAGAAAGCTGCCAGCACCCTAGCCATAAACCCATTACTTCCTTTTTTTCTAAGGACTAACTTTCTGCTTCTCCACAAGATCCATATCCCAATAGTCCTAAATCTTTGGTGCAAAAACCTCTCACCTCTAAACATCCACAGCATTTTTTTCTTACCGAGCAGCATTCTTGGGTAAATCTGGACCAGCAGGGTCATAACTTATTTTTGCATTTCTGACATATGGCATGATACCCAAGAAGACAGTTGAATGAATAAATAAATAAAAACCACTAAAAACTAGGGTCTTCAAAATAGAATTTAAGACAAAATTGATTGTGAATATTTCCTTTGTGTTTACTAGAGCAAAAGAAAGTTCTCACCTTTTGACTTTTAATTTGTTCTACTACAACCATCACAGAAGGAAAAAGGAGCTGGAACTGCAAAGTAGGAAATCATTAGGAGGGTATATAATCAAATAAAAGGAAAAAAGGTACTTTTGTTTCTAAATAGGCCCATTTAACATAAAGATGGCAACACCCAGAACAGTCAAGATCTAGTATCCTAAGACGATCTGATGTAGAGGTTGGCAGCAGATGGAAAGAGAATGGCAGAGAGAAGCAGATTCTATTTTTGAGGCTAGCATAATTATTAATATTAAAGTCAATATAGAGCACTAACATCAGACATTAAGTTTTAACTAAATTTGGAGGTTTTCAAACATCTCTGATCTAGGAAAGCATACAAAATAAAAAATGCTGGGCTCTGAATCCAGAAGGAAAAAAGTTCTCGAAGATGATGTCATAAGTTAGATTACTTTCCTACTATCAACAGACTCCAAGACATTTTGTTCCTTGGGTAACATACCTGATCTAAGGAGTAATTGACATGTGATATGGACAGATGGGGGTCCGCCAGGAACTGCAACAAAAAACACTGTGATTAGGGGTCCATATAAAATCCCTCAAATCTTTTTAAAATATGAAAACCAGAAGGGAATCTCAGAATGGTCTTAGTGCCAGTTTTAGGCTACTAGGAATTGATAATTTATAGAGAATAGTTAGTTCTGATTTTCAGGTGATAACAAGCCAAAGCTAGGGCTCTTATAAACTCACTCAGGAATCTCTGCCGTGATCTAATGCCACTTTGACAGCCTGGGCAATCACAGGGAGTACACTGTACCCTCCAGCCACACAGAAACTATGAAAGGGCATTTCAAATTCAAGAACAGGCCCTAATCTGCTGTCCCACAGGTGGTGTTTCCCATGTCTCTTCTCTCACCTCTTGTTCCAAATCCAGCAGTGCTTGACGATAAGGCTGCAAAACTGAATCCAGCCCTGTGCAGAAAGCCCTTAGGTAGATTCCATGTAACCCACCTTGGCCCTGCTGAGATGCGTGGTGATCCTGAAATCAAACAAAGAAAAGTGAACTCAGCTCAGACCCTGAAATCAGAGGAAGACATTATCCTTTATTAATGGTATTGTTTTTAAGGAATTCTGTATCAAAGTGGGGCTTCAGTAAGAGGAAAACCAAACTCAAAGGGACAGATTTTGAGTTCCAACCTTTTAAAACATGGTAATATTTTAATTTCCCAAGCAGGCTAGATATTACAACCAACCAGGTAGTACTGCATATTGCCAGTGGAGATTTTTCTACAACTCAATTCTAACCTTGTAACTTCCAGCTTAAATTCCTTTGGTGGCTTCCTATTTGCCCCAGAATAATATCTAAACTCCCTTACATGGCATACAATGACATCTGTATTCTGGCCATTACTCTCTCTCCAACATTATCTTTCTCTGTTTCTAACTTCACATCCTCAATTTCAAACTACCCTCAGTTCAAATGTGTCTTGCCTTTATTTCTCACCTTCATGATTTTGGATGTGTTCTGCTTATAACTGTGCACTCATCTTTGTGACAAATACGTACTCTTCATGCAGGACCGAAGTCAAGCATCTCTTCTCTGCAAAGCCCTTCCTAACTCTAACTCGGCAATGAGTAGCTTTCCCCTTTCATACCATCTCTATTTAGTGTTTGAATGTACTTTTGTTTATATGTCCCCTCTCTAGACCAAGAGCTTCATGAAGGGCACACACTTTATTCATCTTTGTATTTCAGCTTTCAGCACTGTTCTTTGAACAGAGGGTAAATATTTACCAAATCAATAAAATGACCTCAATCTTCCTCCTAACATCCCTTCTCCTGCTTGGCATGGCAGTTCATGAGGAGCATGAGTCTCATAGTTCATGGGGAATAATGAGATTCTCACCAAGAGGCTATTTATAAATATGGCTTGTCCTTCAGGAAACCTGCAATTTTTTGTAAGAGCCTCTTCTGTAGTTTTATATGGTGAGCTGCAGTTAAAGTTGACTAGAAACCACAATGAGTAGCTTCTCTAGCTGTGTACTGATTTGGGTAAGCAGATTCTGGTGTTGGTAGATACAATAGCAGAATTCAACAACAAATATGGTAAGAAGCTTGTGCTCGGGGGTTATAAGGCCCAATGTAGCCAGAGGATGCTTTAAGGATACTAGTAGATCCTGAAAATAAATGTTCATGGCTATAATAAGAACAGTATGGGCATAGGGTGACAGAGACCACACTGGCTTCAACCAGCTAGTTTTGTTTTGATCTTACATCATTCCAGAGAACTGAATGTCTTCATCTATCACTAAATGAAAGAGAAGATTAAGTATGCTGTTTGCTTTTCCAAAAAAAAAAAGAGGTACTACAGATACCTTTAGAATTTGAGAAAGTAAGAATTCACATATTATATATGACAAAATCCACATAGTCACATGAATACAGGAGAGGTTTTTTAAAGTATTATATACAAAAAATTAAAACTAGGGGCCTTTCCATCTATATTAATATATGGGTTCCAACTTTGATAATTAAGTGTGCCCTCATTAATATGATTTTATAGCAAACAGGCATTGATTACATATTAAATTCATGCTGTATTTTATCTGCAATAAAATCAGTTAAGGGAACCAGAATCTCTGCCCCAGAGATGAAAATATAAGGCATTATTCTCTCAAAGATTATCACCAAAGGCCTGACAACTCATTTATATAACAGGGGCCAGAGGGCATCAACTGCATTGTTTCAGGAAAGCATCCTTTCTTTTCCTTTCTCTAAGTCCCCATTTTACTCCTCAGTGGGAATCTTTCTTCCAACTGGGGAATAATCATCACTCAATTAGTCATCAATTCATTCATCTTTTTACTTACCACTGGCAGGACTGCAGACTGTCAAAATAAAAGGGAACTTTAAAATTTCACTTTAAAAATTTTTGGAGTGCTTACTATGTACCAGGCACTTCACATGAATTACCTTGTTTAACTCTCACAACCCCATGAGACAGGTACTATTATTATCCTCATTTTATAGAAGGAAACTGAGCCTTAGTTATTGAGATTAGGTATTGCTGAGCAGTTTATGGCCAGTAAGTGATGCAGAGGACACAAATCCTTCACTTCTACACTATTAATTACAACTCATAGTGTATACTTCCAATTAATTTATATCAGTGGATAATATTTTTTAAGTTCTTACTATATGCCAAGCACCTTTTCTGGTTTAACATTTTTATTTACAAGTAAGAAGAATGAAGCCCAAAGATTTTAGTTACTTGCCTAAATGTGACCAAAGAAGTTAGAAGCAGAATGGCAAAGGAATTGAGATAATGCTTTATGTTTGTAACTCTGGAATTGGAACTCTTGTCCAGCTCAAACTCATTTAATTCAGATCTCCTAAAACTTAGGCAAAGCATATTTTCTCTTTCACCAGTCTGCCGAAATTGGCCCCCAAGTATATTGTCCCCTTGTTTGAGCTACAGTTCCCTGGCTTTCATTTGAATAACCCCAACTAAGGAGAAACTCCTAACTTCGTGAGACTTATTTCACATGAATTATTGGTGGATTCACTGAAGGCCGCATATTGTTTAGTCCTCTGGAGGTGCACATTCCCTGAGAAGAGGAACCTACCTGTTGTTGCACATGGCCCGTGTACTGTTCAATGAACTCAGTGAAGCGAATATAGTCTGTGCCGAGCCTGCAGAGTCGATTCAGCACGCTGGTTTCACTGGGATGGAGAAATGGAAAGTCCTGTGACACCTGCAGGAAGAGAAATAATGCTAAAAACACTGATGCCTGCTATTCACTGTGAGCCAGTCTTTGAGGTGCTTCAAATGCTCTACACTACTTATATCACTTTCTCAAGATGCCCATTTAAGATTGGTAAATTCCGGATTACAAAAGTACTTCCAAACCACTACAAAGGTGTTCCCCATCCCTGACCTAATTTGTTGTTTAGATAGGTAATGACACATGGTAAAAAAGTTCAAACAATACAAAATGGTGCACATTAAAAATAGCTGATTGAGACTTTTTTATAAGAAAAGAAGTCAGCTATCTTTTTTATGCTGTTCTTTTTTTTACTTCAGAGAGTTAAGCACTCACAAATACTTCCTGAACATTTTCCTCCTATACCTTTAGCATTGTGTTGGTTTTACAACTCCTTAAAACAAAAGGCATTTGCTTGATTTCTAAGTTTTATAGGCTAAGAACGTCACTTTTCATGCTCTTCCCGAGCCTATACTGTCAAGTCTCAGGCGTGCCTTTGTGATCAAACAGAGCTTTATTCAAATCTTGCCATTATCAGTACTAGCCACCATAAAGATCTCTGAGCTCTAGTTTGCTCATTTGTAAACGGGGCTAACAATACCTGAGTTAACAAATTGCTGCGAGGGTGAGATGACCTTATTGGTAGCAGAGGTAGGAAGGTATAGTTCAGATACTGGAGCCTGATAGATCTGGGGTCAAGGCCCAGCTCACTAAATACTAGCTACTGTGACAATGGGGGTTAATCTGTAAAGATTAAATAAGATAATGGACGCACTACATTGCCCTTTCTCCTCGTACATTCCGGGTTACAAGAAGCGCCCTCCCCTCCCCACCCCTCCAAATTCTCCTAGTGCAGAAATGGCCTGGAGTAATGAGGGAAACACACTCTCATTTTTTCAGTCAGCAAAACTGACTGCACCCTCATTGTGTATTAAGCGCTATGTACTGGAACTAGCTTTCCAAACTCAGTTTAAAACAGTTTAAGTGTGAAAATGGGAGAGAGTGCCCCCCTTACTTTGATACTCAATTCCCCAGCAACTCTTGCTCAGACATAGCGCCTTAGGCCAGGTGCCAGGCTCCCAGCCCCACCCCCGCCCCGAAGGGCCGTTTGGGGTCTGCCCTTTCCCAGTCTAGGCCCAGGCCTCTCGAGGCGTCCACATCACCTGTGGCACTGCCCTTGCCAACCTGACCCAGCACGCGTTGCGGAACGCCGCAGCGCCTCCAAGCCCCGCCCCCTCGGCCACTCCGACTCCTCCCACAGGCACCGGCTCAGGTCCACCCATTCTTGACTCTTCAGCTCCCGCGTTGGGCCGCACAGTACCTGGAGGCCACTCCGTTTGTTCCAGGTAAAAATGGACCCTGGGTACCCGCTCAGAGCCAAGAGCAGTTCGTGGATCATTCCCACGGCGGACCTCGATTCCCTGTATCCGTCGCCCCCTCCTCCAGGGCCCCTCCGGGCGACCACAGAGGCAAATGTTCTCTTCTCGGCACGTGCACAGGACCCTGGGACGGGCGGTCGTCCTGAATCCGAATTTCCGAGACAACTGCTGCGGGAGGAGAGGACGGGAATGGAGGAAGGGGTCAGCGCATAGCGTCCCGGAAGTGCGCCGCGCTCGGCTGGGCCCACCCGCTTGCTCCGGCGGCGGCTCCTCCGTAGACGGTCGCACCTTTGCGCATGCGCTCTCAGCGCCCGAGTCGCCCGCTCGAACTTCCGGTTTGGGAGCTGGGCTGGGAGGCTGGAGAGCCTGGGCAGGGGCCGGGCCTGAGTGGGTGAGGCTGGCCCGCGGGCAGAGAGGCGAGTGGGTTGAGGGACAGCCCGAGAGGGAGCTGCTCCCAAGGGTGGGTCGGAGAATGCTCTCAGGATGGCTTAGTCCTGTCAGAGGCCTCTTGAGGGACTGCGTGACCGCTCTGAGGATGACCTGGTCGGAGGGAGCGAAGACAAAGAGGCCGGAACCCAGCACCCAACGCTCCTTGAGCTGAGCCCCGCTCCGGCGAGCCCCACAGCGCTCGGAGCCCCAAGATCGTCCTCAGGAGGCTCGTTTCTAGTGCCTCTTCGGACTCCCTCTCTCCACCAACTCAAGTGTGACTTCCCCAGGCCCATCCAGCCCTCGCGTCAGGAGCCAAACCCAGCTTCTCCCAGAGTGCGAGGTTTCCCGTCAGTAGAAATATTTCCGAATTACTTGCTGAGCGAAAACTGTGAGGGAAAACAGAAAACAAAGACTCAGTTTTCAGTGTTTAATTGTTGTCAGGGTGGGACTCGGTGGTTGTGCAAACTGATGAGGCGGGGCGGACATGGAGGGCCTCGGAAAACACCGGAGTTAGTGGGGAGATCAGCTGCAGCCCGCTGGACAGAGGCTTTTCGTCACCTCCATCAGAGTGATGACTTGTCTTTAGATCTTCTCCAGCTCCAGGTCTCCCTTAAGGTTTGAACACTGGTCTATGTAACATTGGTCAGGGGATGTAAGTGGGATCAGACCGTGATCCCACGGTGATTTAGGGGAGTTGGATGAGGAGTAGACTAGTTTCTTTTCTCTGCTGCTTCCCCAGGCTGCCCTGGAAGTCGCACACAAATGCAGTGTTTGAAAAGTCTTCTTTATGCTCAGTTCTGGCTTGCTGTCCTGAAGTTGGTGCTACTTCACACTGACCACGTGGAGCATTGGGAAGTTAGGCCAGCTCTGGCAAGACTTTAGACATATATTTCTTCTGATAGTGCCATCTCTCTCTACCCTAGGAGGAAACTCTTCTTACAGAGAGAGACTCATCTGCAGGTGATTCTCCAAGGACATGGAAAGATAGGTGTAAGCCCTGGAACCCAGACCCTTAAGTGGAGGGAAGCTGCTTCCTGCTGTGAACGATGGCCAAACCCACTCTGAGAGACAATAGCACTAACTCTGAGACCTTCCGACAGCACTTCAGGAGATTTCATTACCAGGAGGCAGCTGGGCCCCGGGAGGCTTTCAGCCAACTTTGGGAACTTTGCTGTCAGTGGCTAAGGCCAGAGGTGCGCACCAAGGAGCAGATTGTAGAATTGTTGGTGCTAGAGCAGTTCCTGACCGTCTTACCTGGGGAGATCCAGAATTGGGTACAGGAGCAATGTCCAGAAAGTGGAGAGGAGGCAGTGGCTCTGGTGGAAGATTTAGAAAGAGAGCCTGGAAGACCTGGACGTTCGGTGAGAAGGGGGAAGGAATTCAGAAGTATGTGACTGGGAAGGGGCCAGGCTAAAGGGTCAAAACAAGGTACAGAGCGGTTTAAAAGGGGGCACAATCTCTCTTGGTGATGCTTATACTTCTGGTCCTGGAACAGGTAACTTTTTTAGTTAGAGCTTATATGGAGATGCACCCCAGGAATACCTTGGCTACCCATCATAATGAGATATTCATAGTTTCATAGTTTTTTACTTAATAGGGAAGGAAGGGGAATTAATTTTAGCCTGTAGTTGGGTTTACTATTTTGATCTTTTCTTTCTGGAGTTCCAGCTGGTCTAGTAATAATAGCTAATAGTAATAAAATAAGGAAGACTCTTGTTCGCCATTAACCACTCACCCTCCCCACCCCCACCCCAGCCATGTTCCAAAAGGATTTTCTCTTTTGGGGTGTTAAAAAATCGCCTCTGGGAATGCCCCTCATTACAACCTTGCAGTGACAATTAACGGGGGTTGTTTCTAGGTCACAGTCTCTGTGAAGGGGCAGGAAGTGCGCTTGGAGAAGATGACACCCCTGAAATCATCACGAGAGTTATTAAGTGTTCGGCAGGAGTCAGTGGAACCCCCGCCCAGGGGTGTACCCAAGAAAGAGAGGGCAAGAAGCCCAGACCTGGGACCACAGGAGCAGATGAACCCAAAGGAGAAGCTCAGACCTTTTCAAAGGAGCGGTGAGGAGTAGATTTGTATGGGAAGATAGGATGCCATGCTGAGTTGGGAAGTAGGGTTGGGAATAGTCAATGGGAAAGGGATTTCAGGAATGAGTGGAAATTGTAGAGTGTATGCTTGCTTGTTGGGGATCTCCTGGAGGCATGTAGTTTAGTTCTCTGCTGCAGTAAGTAGTCTTATATTTACTCTTTTGATAAGTCTGCCAGAGGATGGCTCCCTAGTTTTTATTAGAACTTGGAACTATTTTATTTCCTTTTGGTAATGATGATACAAGGTCAGTATTTTCTAGATAAAAATTGTTTTCTGTACTTGAAGGCACATCTTTCTTCATTTTCTTTCTCCAAATTAAGTTATATTTGTTTCTGTAAGCATTTCCCCAGAAGCTCCATTCTTCAGACCTACTAAGTTCTTATTACTCTTCCTTGGAAACTTTTAAGTTCTGCAAGTATCATGTTAATTGTGGGCAACTAAATTTTATATATATATATCCTAGTGAGGGTCTGGTATATCTGTAAGCAAAGTAAGAATTTTACTTAAGAATTTCACTGAATTTTTTTTAGTATAGCTCAACTAATTATTTGGTTATTATTGTTCACTTGGTAACTCCCAGAACTCCTCTAACAGCTTTCCCTATATTGTTTTTGTGCCTAGTGCTTATTCTTATACTTGATTTTGTAGAACTTGTTTTTCTTCTTTTTATTCTTTTGAACCCCATTTTGTATTTGCTTTGTTTGATCATTTCTTTAGCTTGTTGAGGTTGTTTTGATTATCTGATCTTATCATACAAGATGTTAGCTAGCTTTCTCAGCCAGTTTGGTAATGGTGTCTGTTTATCCAGATGCAATCCCTGAACCCCACACTCAGACTTGCAGAATTAATCAGTTTTTGAACACATACCACGGGCTCCATACCTTGCAGGGTACTCTGCAATAAGAAAGGTTACCTATCCTTGAAGAGCTTACAGTATGGTTGAGAACATAACAGCAAAGATAATTCTGTGCTGAACTGAACCAAACTGAAACAGTGCCAAACAGCGGCTTGTTGTTCAATTGTGTGAGGACAGTAGGGGGTCTGGTAGAGTGTGAGTGGAGGGAAGGCAGTAGGAAAGTCTTCACGGGAGCATTGGCAAATACAGCTTCTTGAAGGTAGGGTTAAATTTGGAATGGAGTGAGTTAAAGGAAAGACACAGAGTGGTGAGTAAATGTGTTCTGTGTTCTGGAGAGAAGATTTTGATACGAATGGACAGTTCATGGAATGGTAGGCTTCAGGTTAAGGTTCAGCAGTATCGTGTGTGAGCTGAGGAAGCAAGAGCATGGAGTTAGATAAGACAGTGACTGCTAGTTACCTCGGTGTGAGAGGATAAGGAGTCTAGACTTGGATCGTGGCAGTAGGAAAAGAGGACATGCTAAGGGAAAATACCTTTGGAACTAGTTGACTGAGTGTGAGGGAAAAGATGAGTCGCACAGTCTCCCCTCAGCTCTCCTCCCTGTTGAAATCACTCTGAGTCTAATTCTCTAGCTTCAAGTGGAGAACTATAGGAGACAGGAGGTGACTGTTCCCAGCAGTGCCAAGACCTGCCTACAAGTGGTCAGGCGGGCTAGGGAGCAACTTGGAACGAAATTATCTGCTCTGAACACATAACAGAACCTTTTCTTCCCATCACCTGCTCTGGAAAATAAAATATTTCTCATTGAGCTTTCACGATTTTCCCTATTTTCTTCAGTTCATTGAACTTGCTGAAAACATTCCTTAGACACTTTCTTTATAGGCCTCTTGGATTAAAAAAAAGGCAGGAACTCTGAACTCAAGGTTTTTTTTATAATCAGTCCAAAGTATGATATCCTTCCTTTGTTTGCTTCCCTGCAAGCAGGATTTCCATTTCCTAAATCCGGTGTGGTCTCCAGGTTGGAGCAAGGAGAGCCATGGACCGCAGATTTGGGCTCCAAGGAGAAGGAACTCCTAAGAGGCAGTCACACAGGAGACGGGCAAATGCATGCTGATCTGTTACCATCCAGGAGAGAGAGAAGCTGGCTGGAACAGGATCACTGGGGCTTTGAGGATGAGAAAGTGGCAGGTATGCACTGGGGCTATGAAGAGACCCGAACTCTCCTTGCAATTCTCAGTCAGACTGAGTTTTATGAGGCTCTTCGAAACTGTCATCGAAACAGCCAAATATATGGTGCTGTGGCTGAGAGGCTCCAGGAGTATGGCTTCCTCCGGACCCTGGAACAGTGTCGCACCAAGTTCAAAGGTCTCCAGAAAAGTTATAGGAAAGTAAAAAATGGCCACCCACCTGAGACCTGTCCCTTCTTTGAAGAGATGGAAGCCTTGATGAGTGCCCAGGTCATTGCCCTGCCCCATAATGGCTTGGAAGAGGCAGCCTCTCACTCTGGCCTGGTGGGCAGTGATGCTGAGACTGAGAAGCCAGAGCAAGGGGGCTGGCAGCACCAAGAGGAAGCAGAAGAGGTCATGGCTGAGGAGTCTGACAGTGATGAAGTGGGCCAGGAGGCCACCCCCCAGGACCCCAACAACTCGACTGCTCCTGTCCTTTTCCGAAGCCCAAGTGGTAAGAAGCTTTTCTTCTTGGGATTTTGGGAATAGATTTGAGGAGTTATGAGACTGGATGAAGGAGGTTTAAAGTCACCTGTCAGCTTTGTCACTTAAGTGGAGAACAAAGAAGCACTTTTAGTTCTTTATGTGTTTCATTCTGTTTTGTGGGAAAATGAGTAAGATAAAAGTAATCAGGAGATAATTTTAGGTATTTTGAATATACTAAGAAAATTTAAGAGTCCTGAAAAGGAATATCATTCCATTTGTTTATTAAAATACTTCTTTCCTGATTATAAAATACTTGCAGGCTGAGAAAATTTTGGCACTATACTTAAGGAGGACTAGTATTTGTTGAGCATCACACATGAACTGGTGCTTTATCTTTTACTCCCCTAAATCTGAAAGTCAGTTCATTATGTATTCCTTTTTACTTAGAATGGCATAGTAAGGATTGCCCAAAGTTGGGGAAACATTTTTAAGTCTATGAGATACACAACAAATACTGGCATTTTAACAGGCCTGAGAGGTCCTGCAGCAAGAAATCTTGTTTAACACTGTTGAAATATGGAAACATTTTTTTAAGTATCATTTATTACTGCTGATGTAATTTACATAACCCTGTTTTTATGGAAAGACCACTAAAGTATGAGTCAGGAGACTCTGTTTCTAATCCTGACTGCCAATCAGCTAGGTGAACTTGGACAGTTACCTTACCATTTCAGTTTGTTTCAACTGTAAAATGGAGCATGGCCACCCACAGGACTACGTCTCTAAAGTTGCAGTTCCACTGTGAGCAGTGAACTTTTCCTTCTACTTTTTATTTTGCTATGTTACTTTAGTTCTGTTCTAGTGTTTTGTTTTCCTCTTCCTTCATTCTTTTTCCTTTTTTGTCATGGAATAGATGTAGATAAATCACAGGTGTGGCATGTCTTAATGCTGTTATTTTCATTATCTTTATTCTTTTCATCTTTTTCCACTGCCTTTTCTATCTTCCAATTCTTTCCCCTCGTCCTTCACTTGCTGTGAGTGGAGGATAATAGAAGCAACGTAATTTCCAGGTGGCCTTCAAGTGGGAGAAAGACTGAATCTCCCTTCTTTCTACCTTGGGTTCCTTCAGGAGTAGAATCTGTAATCATCCTGATTAAGTACTACCCAAACTGGGGGATGGCAGGTTGGGGGGGCTGTGGCCCCAGCATGTGTCCAGGCCAGGAGATGGTGTCTGCTCTGCTTTTGGCTTCCACCAGTTCTTTGCTCCTAAGGAGAAGGTACATGACTATAAAGTCCTTATTTTGTACCCTTCAGGTCTTTGCTACTGTTGAGCTTGCTGGGTTTTTTGAGATTGCACAAGTGACAGAAGGCCATAATAGGGATTAGACAACAGTGTGATTCTGAAAGAGAGTGTTTCTTGGGGTTTTGAGTCATTCTTTGGGAAGCTTAAATAAAAGGAGGTAGGACTGGTGGAAAAAGAATGATTGGGGTCACTTGTGGCTGACAGCAACTGACTGTGGGTCTTCTATCCACGGCCAGTTATTTCCTAGTTAGAATCAGAGCTGGGAAATGCATCCTTCACTCTAGTCAGTGTACATGATTGTTTCAGTGATCAGGTGGAAAGGCCTCTTTTTAATATGGCTAAAGATAATGTAGGAAAGGTCTCTGTGAAATTGTTGCAGGATATACGGAAGCAAAACATTCTATAATGAATGTGTTACAAATTTTGGAAACATGAAGTACTTCTACTTATTCATCTAGGAGCCCAAGCTTAGGTAATTCTACATGATGCAGATAGGACTGATGGATTGAGGCTCTAAAGCCTGGGATTAAGTGGTGCTGAAATTACTTTTCTGGTGGCAGGTGTACACTGGGGTTATGAAGAGACAAAGACTTACCTTGCAATTCTCAATGAGACTCAGTTTTATGAAGCTCTCCGAAACTGTCACCGCAATAGCCAGTTGTATGGAGCAGTGGCTGAGCGGTTATGGGAATGCGGCTTCCTTAGGACGCCAGAGCAGTGTCGGACAAAGTTTAAAAGCCTACATACCAGCTACCGGAAAGTCAAGAATGGTCACGCACCAGAGACCTGTCCCTTTTTTGAAGAAATGGATGCTTTGGTGAGTGCCCGGGTTGCTGCCCCGCCCAGTGATGGGCAGGAAGAGGAGACAGCCTCTTGCCCTGTCCAGGATCCCAGGGAGGCTGAAGCCAAGAAGCAAGCTGAGGAGGTAGAAGAGGTCACAGAAGATGATTCTGAGGAGGATGAAGATACTGAGGTACCCCTGGGGGCTGTCATGACCCGTGCTCCAGTCTTATTCCAGAGCCTCAGTGGTAAGATCCATTTATTTCTTAAGGTCTGAATAAACAAAGGGGAGGCAGTGGGATTTAGGAAAAAAGGCAACAGGTTAAAGATCAGGAGAGCTGGCCTCTACACTCAGCTCTCATGGATTCTTTTTGTTACAACCTTCTCTCTTCTCCATGTTCATGTTCCCTGTCTATTAAAGCAGCTCACTGAGGGGATATACATTATTCACTTGACTTGCCTCCTCACAGTACAGCATCAACCCAAGATGGTTGCAGACTTTGTAAATTTGCTGTCATTTACATGTGATCTGCCAGAGCTGCTAGATTTCTAGGCAGTTTACCTAGCAGGAATCTGAAAGCTAACATTTCCCAAGTAGCATGTCTTTAACCTGGAGTGGGATGAGGGTGATTTTACAAGTTCATTCTCCTTTATATTTTTTTCTTCTAGTTCCAGCTTGTATACCAGTTATGTCTGCTTTATTCACATATATGAAAATCATAACTTCTTTTTGCAGACACACTTATGCAAAAGTCTGAGATTTCTGAGGGAATTGACCTTTTAAATCTTAGCTATTAGAAGAAAAAAAACTTGACTATAGCTTCCCTCCTTGTGGGAAGAATTCTGATTTGAGAGTTATACATGTATATGTATAAAAGTCTAGACTCTTCTGTTCATTAGCTGAGTGACTTAGAGCAAGTTACTTAACCCTCTAAGTTTGCTTGTGTATTGAGATGTATCTCATAAGGTAGATGTAAATGAGGTACCGTGGTGGAGCACCTAGCATAGTGCTTGGGCACATAGTAAGCATTCAGTAAATAAGTTTTCCAAAAGTTCTTTAGATCAGCATTCTTCAAGGGTGTTCCATGGAGTATCAATTCCGTGAGGGTGGAATTCAATTCCTAAAAATGGCTTCTAGATACAGGAAATGTTAAATACCCTTCTTGGAGACTCACAATACATATTAACATATTTAAAGTTCTGAGATTTCATTTAATCGAATGAACCTCTATTTCAGGGAGCATCTCATTAAGACTGGGCTTCTGGGTAGAAATACTGCTTTTAGGGGTTATATATACAAGCTGACACTCAGCATTCTTTTGCTCTCAGATTTAGTTCAGGGAATATGGGATCTAGAGTTTATCTGAAGATTTTACAAATTCAGTTTGAACATTTGCAAGTATATGCAAATTCTCATAGCTTAGGCCTAGAAAACCTGGAATTTGGTTCTCAGAAGAATAGTAAAAGCTCAACTTAAGCATTGGAGTGGTGCTTTTGGAACACTTACTTATTATTTTTGCCGTGGGCAGAGAAAATGCTTTAGAGAGACATTCCTAACAGTTTCTCTCTCGGGTCTTTTGTTCTTTCAGAGATACCAACTATTTTTCTACCCTGTTTTTATTCTCAGCATATATTGGAATTCAAGGGGAAAGGAACTCATACAGCTCTTCCTGGATATGGAAGCTTCCCAGAATTTTCCTGGGCATTCCCTTCTAACCCCATTAGTTGCCAGTGAATATAAAGTAGAATCCAATGATAGGCCTGAGATGAGGCAAAAATACAGCATTACTAAGTGTCTTTCCTGTATAAACATAATAATAGTTTTATCTGAATTCTGGTAGGTTTTTCTTGTTATACTGAGGGGATTTTCTGAAGATCCTGGATATCCAGAAAGAGTTCAAAGAATGTATGAATGAGCTCTTCTATAGATGAGAAGCATGTGACAGGTTACTAAGTAAAGAAATAAAAAAACTGGAATTTTATAGATGGAGTTGTTTGGGATCTAGAGCTTTATCTTTAATCATCCAATGTGATACTTGATTTACCCTGGTGCATAATAATTGAGGAAATGGATAACTTCTTAAATTCTATTCTTATATCAGGTTTTGAGGCTGGATTTGAGAATGAAGACAATCTAAAACGGGATATATCTGAGGAGGTACAACTACATAGGACATTACTTTCAAGGTCTGAAAGGAAAATTCCCCGGCATCTTGATCAGGGTAAAGGCAGTGAGAGTCAATGTAGATTAGGAAGACACTGGGAAAAGACCTCAGGGGAGAGAAAAGGAAAACCAACAGTTCCAGAGAGGAGTTTAGGTAAAGTCCTAAGTCCCCAGAGACCTTACCTGGGGGAGAGACTCTATAAATATCTCAGATATGGCAAAAGCTTTGGTCCAAACTCCCACCTCATGCACCAGATATCTCATCAAGTGGAAAATCCATATAACTGCACTGACTGTGGGAAAAGCTTCAGTCGGAGTGCACGCCTCATTAGACACCGGAGAATTCACACTGGAGAGAAACCTTATAAGTGTCTTGACTGTGGGAAAAGTTTCCGTGACAGTTCAAATTTCATCACCCATAGGAGAATCCACACAGGAGAGAAACCGTATCAATGTAGTGAGTGTGGGAAACGCTTCAATCAGAGCTCAAGCCTTATAATTCATCAGAGAACCCACACAGGAGAAAAGCCCTATCAATGTGAAGAGTGTGGAAAAAGCTTCAATAACAGTTCTCATTTTAGTGCACATCGGAGGATACACACAGGAGAGAGACCCCATGTGTGTCCTGACTGTGGAAAGAGTTTCAGTAAGAGTTCTGACTTACGTGCCCATCACAGAACCCACACAGGAGAAAAGCCCTATGGGTGTCATGACTGTGGCAAATGCTTTAGTAAAAGCTCTGCTCTTAATAAGCACCGAGAAATCCATACACGAGAAAAACTTATGTCACAGTCAGCACCTAAGTAAGCCCCTGAAATTCTATAAAGAGCCTCAATAAATGTATTGAAATTGTTTGAAAAAGCTTCCAATAATGAGATCCATCTCCTGTTCTGGCCCAGCTAGCTTAGGAAATACTTTAGGATTTACCCAATTGTCTGTTCCTTTGTTTCTTCTCTTGGATCCACAAACTCCCCAGATGTCTTAAGAATGAAAGGAAGCCTTTCAGTCTCTTTCCTTGCCTGCACCTGAATGACAACACCTTTCCCTCACAGTACCTGTGTTGTTCCCTTAATAGAGAGGAGATAGTAGTAGGTCCTATAAATTTGATATGTATACCTTATTTACTCATACTGTTATTCGGCTGCATTTCAACTGGAAAAACCCATCCTAGCATTTCAAGGAGAAGTTGAGAGCATTTTCTCACTGAGTGGGTGTAGCTCTTTATACAAGAAATGCAAAAACAAACAATTCTGCTCACTTAAGCCTGTGCTCAGAATGCCATGTGTTGCATATTCTTCATTTACCTTAAAGGAGGGTTTAATGTCCATCTTGGTTATGACCTATAAATCATCTTGTCAAGAACCTAGGTGTTCTATATGGGGAAACAATGTAAACTTTGTATGAATATTGATGTGTGAACCCTCCATTTGTTTCTTCCAAGCCCCAGAAGATTTGGAATAGAGAAATACTACCCTTATGGCATCTAGTTTGATTTTTTTTGTTTCATCTCACCTGGTCCCTTGTGGTCCAGAAGCCCAAAAAGTAAGCCAGCTGAACGTGGTGATAGGGATAGCAGTTAGAGTGGCCAAAAGGAAGTTGTCCATATGCACACACTCCAAACACCTAGTTTAGTGTTAAGCACCCCATGGGCACTCTTACACTCTCGCTAGCTTAAAATGAGCAGCCACATTCCCATGGACTGGGAAAACAGACCACTTTGTGTCAACAACTTTTTACCCTAATAACAAGGAAAACATTATTTTTACTCAGAAGAGCTGCCAATACACACATGCACATGCACATATTAACTACATACATGTGTTTTTAAAAGCACCTCTTCAGACACCATAATTCTGATCATTATAATCAAATAGTATTGAATTAATTGCCTGTATGTTCATAGTAGTATGATGAACCCTGTATAGCACAAGTTCAGCAGACCCTGGCCCTTGTCCTTACAGTCTAAAACAGATTACACTGACATGGACAAATAATAAAGTGCACACAACAGTTCTAGAGAAATCTAGAAAGCTAGATTGTAATACTATGCACAAATGTTAAGGTTTAAAGCATTAGAGTTTGCTATAAGAAAACTCTAGGAGGTATTTTCTTCTCTTTATTCAAGGTGGCTTCTTGAAGCAGTTAGTGTTCAAAAGAGGGAAATTAAGGGGTAAATTAGGGTGGGATGACCTGTCTAAAATGAATCGCAAAACTGAGTGCTGAGGGGATGAGAAATGGGGAAACGGGAGCAAAGTGTTCTGTGCAGATGGAGCAATGGGCAAATGACAGACTCTAAGAAAGGTTAGACCAGTTTGGAGCAGCACAAAATTTGAGGAATAGTATGATAAGGGTTGTGCAGGAGGCAGAAAAAATCACCTTAGCTGAATGCCAGAGGGAGGTCAGGAGGTGATGCTCCCAGTATCTGTAGTCAATCAGGTACTGTGCTATACTTATTAGTAAGGAAATAGCTGGCTGGCACTGGGTAAGAAAAAGGAGAGTTTTAGGAGACTAGCTCCTAAGGGAGACAGGGTCAGAAACTAGTATCTTGAGAAGATACTTCCATGGGCATGTCAGAGAAAAGAGGAACACGAGTGGATGGCCAAAGCCTAGAATAAATAGCTGTTGTATAGTTGCATTTAGAGTCCTGTGGCTGGAATGAGATCTGGGAGAGGAGTGGACAGATAGAATATTCTATAATTCATAGTACTGTGTTAGAGGAGAGATTAATTAGGGTTCTGGCGTTGAGGACCAGAATGAAGAATCTCCTAACATTTATTAGGAATTAAGGGTAGATGGTATCTCAGTTTTGTTGCCTGAGCAGACAGGAAGATATAAGAAACACCAGCCTGAAGCAATGCCATGGGATCTGAGATGGTTTAGGAAGAGCACTATAATGTTATTTAAATGAGGTTACTGTGTTCAGTGTACCTATGTCCAGTCTTGTGGAAAAAGCATTGGTTGGGGTGTCAATAGGTAAGATTTCTGGTTGCAGATGTCTGTGTGTAAGTCAGCCTGCCTCCATTTCCCTTTCTGTAAAGTGGAATAATGTTTATACCTTAATCTGCCTCTCAGGGATACCGTGTTAATAAAAGTTATGTCTATAAAGTACCCAGTGTTTCTTCAGGTGTTTTTCTTTTTGATATATATATATGCAAATTATGATTAAATTGTTGCCTAGGAACAACTTAATGTTCCTTAGGTAGGAAAAGATAAATCTTCACTTGCTTTTTTTGGCTCCCTGCATGGGGATACTTTATGTTCTAGAATGAGAAACAAATTAGAATGTGGTAAAAAAAAAAAAGATAGTAGATTATAAATCCTACCTTGCTATCTGTATCCACATACATTAGGACTCATCATAACTGGGTGTGGAGAATGAGTCTTATTTTAAAAGACCGAGGACTAGCCCTTCAACCTCCAGATGACCAGAATGTAAAAGGAATAGGGCAGAGGCAAACTCTTTTACCCAGGAAAGCCCAGTTCATCTCAAACTAGCTCACAGGCCATTATCTGCTACCGAATCTGCTATTCCTGAGGATGGAAGAAGAAATAATAAATTGTCTCTAACCATTCTAAGAAAGAGAAACCAAGGCCACTGTTGGGGGAGCAAGAAGATTTAGGCATCCCCCTACCCTTTTAATACCCAGTAGACCTTTGTGGGGATGGACTGGGTGGCATGTACAGCAAAGGAAGTAGGAAGTCTGAGCAGGCGCTGGGTAGTTGTATCTGTTCTCAGCAGCTAGTTCCCCTAGTGCTGGTTGGTCTTTTCTCTGTTTTCTCCCCTTGTTATTTTCCCTTCTATTGCCTGTTCTCTATGGCCAATGCCATAGAACTTAACATGTATCCTCTATTCTCTATGTTACTTGCATTTCTTTTCCACTATAATCTGAGTGTAAAGGCTATCTCGTCAACTCTGTAGAGAACTATTTTTATGGTGACCAAGTAGAGAAGGAATGATGAGATATGAGTGTAAGGATGGACCAATTCTCTCTCCATTATCTATTTCAAAATATAAAATGAAAACTTTATTCTTACACACTCAAACAGCTATCCAGTGAGATGTAGGTCTCAAAGTTTTGACATATAAAATGTTACTAAGTATTCTCAACAACGTGATGCTTGAAGACACAGAAAACCGATGTTATATGGAGATATTTTAGTTAGGCATTTAAATTTCTCCTATACCTACCAGGGGGTTCTTCCAGAAACAAATGTGTGGAACAACTGGAAGTCAGATTACAGGCTGGAAGTAGAAACCTTAAAGTACCCTAGAGTTCAAGAAGTGTCTGGCCAGCATAGCTCCATTATAGTCAAAATAAGACAAAAAAAAGACTACCTTGATTCCAGAGGGGTTAATCACAAGAAGGACAAAGCCAGGTCTCAGCAGTTAGCTTTATCTGTCACTAGAGTCACCCAAAGTAGATTGTATTCACAAAAATCCATGGTAGGCAGTGTAGCCTGGAGTCAGCAGCTTTGGGGAGTACTTGAGTAAAGGAAGTCTGATTAACGTGAGCACAACAAAATACAGAGCTATTGTCACAAGCTAGAAGGTTTAAGGTCTCGGGGGCAATCTGTTTTCCCCTCTCTCTGCACCTTATTTGACTAGTAATTATAAAACTTTTCCTGATGAGAAATTATTTTGATATTCCTGATGGAGAGGGGCTGTTAAGTCAAAATCACTGGTGGAATAGGGAGTTTAGTTAGCAGGAACATGCAAGGCCTTCCAGGAAGCAGCATGGAGGTAAGCTATGTCAGACTGCAGAGTCTGCTAGTCAGTTGAAGACATACTTAACAGAGGCCACCGTAAGTAAGGTGCTGGTGTTGGAGTCCATGGTGCTTAGCTGCTGTGCTTCAAATGGAGTGTTAAGGGAACTTAACACTATTTAATTCTATTTAAAAACCCAGGTTACTAAGTAGGATATGGTGGGAAGATCTTGGTTACAACACACCTCGAAAGTAGTTCATCTCATCATAGCTTACAAGTGTAGTACTTTGGGCTTCAGATGATTCCACTTCCTCCTCAGTTCAGACTTGATGCTTTCAGATGCAAAGATGTAGTTGATGGATTCATAAGACAAATCCCACACCTGGGACTGGGTCAAATTAAATGTTTGAGCCACCAGCTGGTACTCTTGAGAAAGGTCTGTTGCAAAAACACCCTTATCATCAGTCTGCCAATATAAGCAAAAAAGTTTCACAATCAACAAGGAAATGATTTTTTAAAAAATAACAACTTTTGTTTAGAATCTATTTTCCTGTTTACTATGCTTTTTTTTAAGAGTTTAAATAGGGGCCTATAAATGCATCTATGCATATCTAACTAAACAGGCTTGTTTATCCTTTTTAAAAACAAAACAGAACAAAACACCAGAGCAGTGGCTTCCAACTGTGGCTGCATATTAAAACGATCTAGGGAACTTTTAAAATGTATCTATGCCCATGCTTCACCACAGATCAAATAAAGCAGAGTCTCAAGGGATGGGTGCTGGACATCTGTTTTCTTCTTCATACTCCCCCAGGTACTGTCCAGGACCTTTTCCCATAGAGCCAAACCAGAGTCACTCTAGCCCTTTGCAGCCTCTCCTGCCCCAATCCCCCTCTCTCCTCTACTTGGGCACCCTCAGGCATGCAAGGCAGTCAGCCAGATAGTTAAGGTCTGACCTAATGAAACTCAGGGACCAAAAAGGAGCAAAATGCTTCACACTGAACACCTTACACAGATTACAGAAGGATGGGCAATGCTGTGCCAGAATCCGAAATGATGCTGGTCATAAGATGGAACTGTCTGACTTTTGATGTTTGAGGTCAAACAGAGTTCTAGATGAAAAGGGAAAGAAGAATCTTGTTAAAAGCAGATTAGCAGACTCATTCACTGTTTGTTCAAGTAGATACATAAGAAATCTTTCCAAACTACTAACTTTTAGTATTGTTTCACACAATGGACTTTTTCTTTTATTATTATTAAAGTATCATTGATATACAATCTTATGTTGATTCAACATTTACCCATATTAATCAAGTCCTCACCCCCCTCCAGTGTAGTCACCATTCATTCATCAACGTAGTAAGATGTTACAGAATCATTAACTGTATTCTCGGTGCTGTACTACCCTCCCCATGACCAACCTATATCGTGATTGCAAATTGTGCCCCTTAATCCTTTTCCCCCTCTCTAACCCCTCCCCCTTCATAACCAGTAGTCCCTTCTTGGTGTCTATGAGTCTACTGCAATTTTATTCCTCCTGTTTTGCTTTGTTGTTATACTCTACAAATGAGTGAAATCATTTGGTATTTGTCTTTCTCCACCTGGCTTATTTCAGTGAGTATAATGCACTCTAGATCCATCTATGCTGTTGCAAATGGCAGGAAGCTTTTTTTTTATGGCTGAATAATATTCCATTGTGTATATGTACATCTTTATCCATTCATCCATTAATGGACACTTAGGTTGCTTCTGTATTTTGGGTATTGCAAACAGTGTGGCAATAATCATAGGGGTGCCTATGTCTTTTTGAATCAGGGATCTTGTTTTCTTCGGGTAAATTCCTAGGAGTGGAATTTCTGGGTCAAATGGTATTTCTACTTTTAGTTTTCTGAGGAACCCTCCATACTGCTTCCACAGCAGTTGCACCAATTTACATTCCTACCAACAGTGTAGGAGGGTTCCCGTTTCTCTGCATCCTTGCCAGCATTTGTTCTGTGAAAATTTGTAGTTCAGTTAGTGTAGTTGCTTGGGAAATATATGCTACAACTATGGCAGCAATTGTACCAAGCAGGGAATTAATATCCCCTTCCCAGCCATGTGTGTCCCCGTTTCTTTTATCAAAATGGAGAGAAAAGAAGAGTATTATGAGCCAGTCACCATGAAGAGGCAGGGAAGTACTGGGAGCAGAAGGAATTGTGAAGGATTGCTGTACTTCTTCCTGGTCTGATAGTGGAAGCTAAGATTAAGGAAGGAAAATGGTAGCACTGCTTGAGAGTTACAGCATTACAAAAGCTAAAATCAGAGACAGACTTTTTCCATGGCTTCAAGAAAATCCCAAAATTCCTTTACTCAGACACCCATCCATCTTAGGCATGACTTCTACTATTAACAAATTCCTGCCTGGGAACACTGTACTGGGCTCCCCATCCCGGGTAACATACTTCATGGGTAAGGCAGCCTCAACACAGGGCTGCTCAGTCCAAGGCATAGTAAACCCAACCTGCCCCCTCACTCTGCTGGAAGCAGAGCTGGGCCAACACACCAAGTAAGTTCACTGTGCAAGTGCTTTTCTTTTTCTCTATTTTTGTACGTTTAAAATTTTCCTTAGTTAAAGAAAAAAAAAATCTCACCCATTATGAATTGCTGGAAACTCTACAGTTAAAAACACACACCCACACCAGTGTTTTTGCCAATTGGTGAATTTGTAAATTCAGCAAATCGATCATTCAGTAAAATGGTTTTTAGTCGATTATTTCCTTCCCTCTTCAGAAAGGCCCTCCCTGACCATCCAATTGAAAGTACTTGGATCTTATCACTATTTTGTCAGCTTGTTTAATTTTCTCCAAAGAACCTAACACTGATGATTTTTCTTGTGTATTTGGTTACTATCTCTCTTACTTATGCTAGAATATAAGTGTTCCTTGGAAAGAAACCTTCTCTGTTCCCAGCAATTGAACAGTGACTGGAATAGAGTAGGTACTTCAGAAATATTTGTAAATAAAAATACCTCCATGTATACATGTAGACCAACAAGTAATGGTCAACAGTCATATATAAATATACTTGGAATTTTCCATGATTCTTAACTTGTAAGTAAATCTACACATTTTCATAATACATGTTAATTTGCCTCAACTCATTTCAGAATACTAGATGACCTTATTCCTTCAAAATAATACTGAGTTCCAGGAACTAGGGAATGTAGCAGGGAACAAGACAGACAAGGGCCTGCTCTCATGGAGCTTATATTCTAATGGGAGTTAAACCTTCTCTTACTTAAACGAAGCTCAGAAAGTACATGTGCCATGCATCTTTTTATTTATTTAAAATTTTTTATTAAGGTATGATTGATATACTCTTATGACGGTTTCACATGAAAAAACAATGTGGTTACTATTACCCATATTATCAAGTCCCCACCCATATCCCGATGCAGTCCCTGTCTGTCAGTGCAGCAAGATTCCAAATTCACTATGTGCCTTCTCTGTGCTACACTGTTCTCCCCGTGATCCCCCACACCATGTGTACTAAACATAATACCCCACAATCCCCTTCTCCCTCTCCACCCGCCCTCCCATACCCCTCCCCTTTGGTAACCACTAGTTCATTCTCGGAGTCTCGGAGTCTGCTGCCATTTTGTTCCTTCAGTTTTGCTTCATTGTTATACTCCACAGATGATGGAAATCATTTGGCATTTGTCTTTCTCTGCCTGGCTTATTTCACTGAGCCTAATGTCCTCCAGCTCAATCTATGTTGTTGCAAATGGTAGGATTTGTTTCTTTCTTATGGCTGAATAGTATTCCATTGTGTATATGTACCACATCTTCTTTATCCATTCATCTCCTGATGGACACTTAGGTTGCTTCCATATCTTGGCTATTGTAAAAAGTGCTGCGATAAACATGGGTGCATATGTCTTTTTGAATCTGAGAAGTTGTATCTGAGAAGTTGTATCCAAGGAGTGGGATTCCTGGGTCAAATGGTATTTCTATTTTTAGTTTTTTGAGGAACCTCCATATTGTATTCCACAATGGATGAACTAGCTTACATTCCCACCAGCAGTGTGGGAGGGTTCCCCTTTCTCCTCATCCTCGCCAGCATTTCTTGTTCTTAGTTTTTTTGATGCTGGCCATCCTTACTGGTGTGAGGTGATATCTCATTGTGGATTTAATTTGCATTTCCCTGATGATTAGTGATGTGGAGCATCGTTTCATGTGTCGGCGATCTGAATTTCTTCTTTGGAGAACTGTCTCTTCATATCCTCTGCCCATTTGTTAATTGGGTTATTTGCTTTTTGGGTGTTGAGGCGTGTAAGTTCTTTATATATTTTGGATGTTAACCCCTTGTCAGATATGTTGTTTACAAATATATTCTCCCATACTGTAGGATGCCTTTTTGTTTTCTGTTGATGGTGTCCTTTGCCATACAGAAAACTTTTAGTTTGATGTAGTCCCATGAGTTCATTTTTGCTTTTTTTTCCCTTTCTTGAGGAGATGCATTCAGGAAGAAGTTGCTCATGCTTATATTCAGGAGATGTTTGCCTATGTTGTCTTCTAAGAGTTTTATGGTTTCATGACTTACACTCAAGTCTCTAATCCATTTCAAGTTCACTTTTGTTTATGGGGTTCAACAATGATCCAGTTTCATTCTCTTGCATGTCCAGTTTTGCCAACACCAGCTGTTGAAGAGGCTGTCATTTCCCCATTGTATGTCCATGGCTCCTTTATCATATATTAATTGACTATATATGGTTGGGTTTATATCAGGGCTCTCTAGTCTGTTCCATTGGTCTGTGGGTCTGTTCTTGTGCCAGAACCAAATTGTCTTGATTACTGTGGCTTTGTAGTAGAGCTTGAAGTTGGGGAGCATAATTCCCCCTGCTTTATTCTTCCTTCTCAGGATTGCTTTGGCTATTTGGGGTCTTTTGTGGTTCCATGTGAATTTTAGGACGATTTTCTCTAGTTCGTTGAAGAATGCTGTCAGTATTTGATAGGAATTGCATTGAATCTATAGATTGCTTTAGGCAGGATGGCCATTTTGAGAATATTAATTCTTCCTATCCATGAGCACTGGATGTGTTTCCATTTATTGGTATCTTCTATAATTTCTATCATGAGTGTCTTGTAGTTTTCAGAGTATAGGTCTTTCACTTCCTTGGTTAGGTTTATTCCTAGGTATTTTATTCTTTTTGATGCAATTGTGAATGGAATTGTTTTCCTGATTTCTCTCTCTATTAGTTCATTGTTAATGTATAGGAATGCCACAGATTTCTGTGTATTAATTTTGTATCCTGCAACTTTGCTGAATTCAGATATTAGATCTAGTAGTTTTAGAGTGGATTCTTTAGGGTTTTTTATGTACAATATCATGTCATCTGCAAACAAGGACAGTTTAACTTCTTCCTTGCCAATCTGGATGCCTTTTATTTCTTTGTGTTGTCTGATTGCCGTGGCTAGGACCTCCAGTACTGGGTTGAATAGAAGTGGGGAAAGTGGGCATCCTTGTCTTGTTTCTTATCTTAAAGGAAAAGCTTTCAGCTTCTCGCTGTTAAGTATAATGTTGGCTGTGGGTTTGTTATATATGGCCTTTATTATGTTGAGGTACTTGCCCTCTATACACATTTTGTTGAGAGTTTTTATCATGAATGGATGTTGAATTTTGTCAAATGTTTTTTCAGCATCTATGGAGATGATAATGTGGTTTTTGTCCTTTTTGTTTATGTGGTGGATGATGTTGAAGGATTTTCGAATACTGTAACATCCCTGCATTCCTGGAATAAATCCTACTTGACCATGATGGATAATCTTTTTGATATATTTTTGAATTCAGTTTGATAATATTTTATTGAGTATTTTTGCATCTATGTTCATCAGGGATATTGGTCTGTAATTTTCTTTTTTTGTGGTGTCTTTGCCTGGTTTGGTATTAAAGTGATACTGGCCTCATAGAATGAGTTTAGAAGTATTCCCTCCTCTTCTATTTTTTGGAAAACTTTATGGAGAATGGGTATTAGGTATTCACTAAAGGTTTGATAAAATTCAGTGGTAAAGCCATCTGGTCCAGGGATTTTGTTCTTAGGTAGTTTTTTGATTACCAGTTCAATTTCGTTGCTGGTAATTGGTCTGTTCCGATTTTCTGTTTCTTCCTTGGTCGGCCTTGGAAGGTTGTTATTTCTAGAATGTAGTCCATTTCTTCTAGGTTATCCACTTTGTTAGCATATAATTTTTCATAGTATTCTCTAAATTCTTTGTATTTCTGTGGTGTCCATAGTGATTTTTCTTTTCTCATTTCTGATTCTGTTTATGTGTGTAGACTCTTTTTTTCTTGATTAAGTTTGGCTAGGGGTTTATCTATTTTGTTTATTTTCTCGAAGAACCAGCTCTTGCTTTCATTGATTCTTTCTATTGTTTTATTCTTCTCAATTTTATTTATTTCTGCTCTAATCTTTATTATGTCCCTCCTTCTACTGACTTTGGGCCTCATTTGTTCTTCTTTTTCTAGTTTCATTAATTGTGAGTTTAGACTGCTTATATGGGATCATTCTTCTTTCCTGAGGTAGGGCTGTATTGCAATATATTTCCGTCTTAGCATGGCCTTGGCTGCATCCCACAGATTTTGGGTGTTGAATTATTGTTGCCATTTGTCTCCATATATTGCTTGAACTCTGTTTTTATTCAATCATTGATCCATTGGTTATTTAGGAGCATGTTGTGAAGCCTCCATGTGTCTGTGGGATTTTTCATTTTCTTTGCGTAATTTATTTCTAGTTTCATACCTTTGTGGTCTGAGAAACTGGTTGGTATAATTTCAATCTTTTTGAATTTACTGAGGCTCTTTTTGTGGCCTAGTATGTGATCTGTTCTTGAAAATGTTCCATGTGCACTCGAGAATGTGTATTCTGCTGTTTTTGGGTGTAGAGTTCTGTAGATGTCTATTAGGTCCATCTGTTCTAATGTGTTGTTCAGTGCCTCTGTGTCCTTACTTATTTCTGTCTGGTTGATCTATCCTTCAGAGTGAGCACAGTGTTGAAGACTCCTAGAATGAATGCATTGCATTCTATTTCCCTTTTAATTCAGTTAGTATTTATTTCACATTTGTAGGTACTCCTGTTTTGGGAGCATATATATTTATAATGGTTATATCTTCTTGTTGGATTGATCCCTTTATCATTATGTAATGTCCTTCTTTGTCTCTTGTGACTTTCTTTGTTTTAAAGTCTATTTTGTCTGATACAAGTACTCCAACTCCTGCTTTTTTCTATTAGTTGCATGAAATATCTTTTTCCATTCCTTCACTTTTAGTCTGTGTATGTCTTTGGGTTTAAAGTGAGTCTCTTGCAGGCAGCATATAGATGGGTCTTGTTTTTTTATCAATTCAGTGACTCTGTGTCTTTTGATTGGTGCATTCAGTCCATTTACATTTAGGGTCATTATCGATAGGTATGTACTTATTGCCATGCAGACTTTAGATTTGTGGTTACCAAAGGTTCAGGGTTAATTTCTTTATTATCTAAGAGTCTAACTTAACTCATTTCATATGCTATTACAAACACAATGTAAAAGTTCTTTTCTTTTCCTCCTCCTTTTTCTTCCTCCTCCATTCTTTATATATTAGGTATCATATTCTGTACTCTTTGTCTATCCCTTGATTGACTTTGGCGATAGTTAACCTAATTTTGCATTTGCTTAGTAATTAATTAGATGTTCTACTTTCTTTACTGTGGTTTTATTACCTCTGGTGACAGCTATTAAACCTTAGAAGACTTCCATCTACAGCAGTCCCTCCAAAATACACTGTAGAGATGGTTTGTGGGAGGTAAATTCTCTCAACTTTTGCTTATCTGGAAATTGTTTAATCCCTCCTTCAAATTTAAATGATAATCTTGCCAGATAAAGTAATCTTGGTTCCAGGCCCCTCTGCTTCATTGCATTAAATACATCATGCCACTCTCTTCTGGCCTGTAAGGTTTCTGCTGAGATCTGATGTTAGCCTGATGGGCTTTCCTTTGTATGTGATCTTATTTCTTTCTCTGGCTGGTTTTAACAGTCTGTCCTTATCCTTGATCTTTGCCATTTTAATTACTATATGTCTTAGTGTTGTCTTCCTTGGGTCCCTTGTGTTGGGAGATCTGTGTACCCAAGGAGATAGTCTCTCCTTCCCCATATTGGGGAAGTTTTCAGCAATTACATCCTCAAAGACACTTTCTATCCCTTTCTTTCTCTCTTCTTCTTCTGGTACCCCTTTCTCTCTTCTGGTACCCCTATAATGTGAATATTGTTCCATTTGGATTGTTCACACAGTTCTCTCAATATTCTTTCATTCTTAGAGATCCTTTTTTCTCTCTGTACCTCAGTTTCTTTGTATTCCTCTTCTCTAGTGTCTATTTCATTTATCGTCTCCTCCACCATATCCAATCTGCTTTTAATTCCCTCCATTGTGCTCTTCAATGATTGGATTTCCTACTGGAATTCATTTCTGAGTTTTTGAATATCTTTCTGTACCTCCATTAGCATGTTAATGGTTTTTTGTTTTGAACTTCCTTTCAGGAAGAGTCATGAGGTTCATGTCATCTTGCTCAGGAGTTATATTACTCTGAACCAGGTTCCTTTAATGTTTCATATTTGTATCTGGCGCCCTCTAGTGTCCAGAAGCTCCACTCCCTGGAGCTGCTCAGCTCCTGGAGCTATGTCCGGGGTCGCAGGGGAGTGGAATTGGTGCCTGGGGGGAGGAAAAAGCTGTTTCCTGCTTCCCGGCTGCTATGCCTGTCTCCACTACTAGAACGAGTGGGCCGAGCACACAGGTATAAGCCTCTATGCTTTGCGTTTGTAGTTGCTTTAGACAGATTTTCCCTGTGGCTGGCCTAACTCCAGGGTAGGGTTTGCCAGTTTGCGAGCCAGGTGGGGCTGGCAGGGGGAAAGGCACAGTAGGCTGCCTATCACGGAGGAGGTCCCTGGAGCTGTGTAGCCAGCCAGGGAGCTGAAGCACCTGTAGATTGTGAAAGCTCCCAACCTGCTGGGCAGAGTGCACCCAGACAAGTTCGTCTACCTTTCCTTTCTCCTGAGCAGTAAGCTCTGTCCAATCCTTGACTCTTTAGCAGCCCTCTTACTAAGGGCTTCCTTGTTAGGAAGTCTCTCAGACTACCCGCCTGTCTTTTGTCCCAGAGCAGCTGGATATGGATCCCTGATTTCCACAAGCAGCTGGAATCTCAGTCTCTTCAGGAATTCTGCCTGTTTTAGCTTTCCAGTCCCCTAATCACGAGAGTATCATGAAAGCACCATGAAATGTAGGTTTGTGCTCTCAGAGCAGATCTCCGGACTTAGGTATTCAGCAGTCCCAGGCCTCCACTCCCTCCCAGCTCCATTTCTCTTTCTCCAGGCGGTAAGCTGGGATGGGGGAAAGGCTTGGGTCCCGTCGGGCCACAGCTTTGGTTTGTTACCCTGTTCCATGAGGTCTGCTGTTTTCTCCAGGTGCATGCAGTCTGCCGCAGTCCTCTTTCCTGGTGCTCTTTCAGGATTAGTTGTATTAATTATATTTTCATATTATATGCGGTTTTAGGAGGAAGCCTCTGTCTCACCTCTCACACCACCATTTTTAATCCTCCTGCCATGCATCTTTTAGTTCCTGAATGATATTTATATATTTAAAATAGTACTTCTTTACATGTGGGTTGCAACCTGGGGGCTGGTGGAGGGAGAAAGTGTTGTGTGAAGGGTCTGAAGCCCTAAGCCTTACCGAGTGGTATCTGGTGTTGCCTCACAAAGTCCACCAGGTCCGGGGATCCTCCCTCAGAGGAGTTGAGAAATGTACCATGCCCAATTCTGTCAGGAAGCAGATCCAGGAGTACTTGGGTTTCTTTTTTTTGGTTTGGAATCTCAAAAAAGGGAAAGAGAGAGCATCAGTAACCTCTTTCAGTGGTTCCCAAAAGTACTTTTTTCTAGAGCCATAGACTTTGTCTCTGTAAGGAAGTAATGCAGACATTCTGGAAAGCTAAACTACTTATTTTGTCCCAGGTTTCTTCTCTGTCTTTTATGTTCCCATTCATTTCTCAGTATTCCTCTAGACTCATTTCAATGATAATAATTATAGAGTCTAATAATAATCATAATTTAAAAAGTAAGGACCTTCTTTGTGCCTTTTCTCAAGAATCTTATAAAGTACTAAGATGAAATTAAAGCTCAAAAAAAGTAATTTGCAAAAACAAAACCCCACAACCCTATATGTTTATGGTTCTGCATTGTGTATATGTGATCATATATATTAGAAAACATATGGAAAAATATAAATACAAAACAAATGGATCGAGTGAACAGAACTGAAATGGGAAGGGGGGACCTTTTATTTTTTATTTTTTTCCTTCTACATTTTACTTCTCTGTACTTGGATTTTCTTCACATACATATAACTTTTGTAGTTAAAAATATAAAGCTTTTTTAAAAAGTTGTACAAGGTCATAGAGTTAGTGAATGGTAGAGGTAAGGGTGAAACCTGGCTCTGACAGACTCTAGGGCTCCGACTCTCCAGATACAGTATGCTAGTGTTTTATTTTGACATGGCTAGCTGCGTACATACTACAACCACCTTGAAAAGGTCTAGCTGTGTTCATCTTCTGGATAGCCTTAAAGGTAAATGACCATTACATCTTGAAATGAAATGTTTCATATCCAGTGGATCAAAGAAGTAAAGCAACAACAACTAAGATAGAGAGCAGAATCTGATGTTATGTACAAGGACCAGAGATGGCAGTTACAGCAATACATGCTGGCTGTTCCATTACACTGACCAATGCCTTCAATCTAGTGTCAGTTAGGTCACCTTGAGGGTGTCCTATGTGTGAAAGAGTTTTTTGATCAGTGTGGAAATAAGGACCCTAGACTGTAAGTTCTGCCACTAGATTACTGACTCTGCTACAGACATGAAAAACACCAGTGTTGACAAGAAGCTTTAATTTTTTTCTTTAACCTTGAAATTATGATGCCACTCAACCTTTATACATTGCCTCTCTAATATTCACAATAGCTCTGTGAGGTAAGTAGACTAAGTATTATTTCTTGCATTTAAAAAACAAATCCAAACTCAACAAGTTGTATACATTAATTATGTACAGCTTTTTGTATGGAAAAAAAAAGAGGGGGGAAACAAATAGGTAGAAATACTGAGACAGAAAGCAAATCCATCTGTGCAATAGGGACAAGTGCAGTAGATAGAGTCCCTTATTTGCCTTACAGGGATGTGCTTATTAATAAAGTGACTATTCTCCAGCCATTATCTATCGCTGTGTTCATGCTGCCAAGTTGCTGGGGCGGTGAGGGGCACCTGATCTCCTGATGAGCTATTTCCCTTCTTGACAGTGCATGTGATATAATCAAGTCCCTTCCTCTATAAGGACAAGTGAGAGGAACTGGTAATTTTCTCAGTGTCAGCTTGCCAATGACAAGGCTGATGATAGAAATTCATGCATTTTCTCTATCAAGACATTGTTAAGCTGTCTTAATGACAGGGCTATACTACAAATCAACAGCCACACCCAGGAATCACAAAAAGATAAAAACAGTAACAAGAAAGACTAAAGTGAACCATGCCTTTATCATTATAATTGACAATTAAAAATACCCCCCTCTAAAAATTATGGTCCAACCAGGTTAATTTTTAGCCATTTGCAAATTATTATTTCCATTGTAATCTATCCTTTCCAGCCTAATTTTACAATATTACTTACCTCGGACAGATGCAATGCCAACTTCAGGCCGGCTTTTTTAGCTTCTAACAGGGGTTCCAGGAAATCTTTTGCTTGTCCTACCTTGAAGATGAAAGTTAAAATGAGGATACATAAGAATTCCTGGCAAACTGAAGAACTGGGTATAAAATAATGATAGGAATAAAATAATGGCAGGGAAAAAAAGGCAGATTGAATCATTTATACATTTTGTTTTTAAAGCATGACACTTTAGGGAATACAAAGTTGTCAATGACACACTGTTCTCCAGAATCTTAAGTATCAGCTAAAGAAGACAGAGCAGTCACCAAATTTTATATATGTACGATATGACATATCTACAGCTAAGAAGGAAAACCCATCTGATTCAGGAACCTCCATGATTAGTAAAGGTCCTACCAGATGGATCACACAAGAACAGAACAGTCCAGTTTAGTCAAAGCCATAAGAACTTTCAGGGGATTCTCTTGAGTCAATGGTTTTCAACCAGGAGTGATTCTGCCCCTCCCAAGGGACATTTGGCAATGTCTAGAAACATTTTTGGTTGCCACAGGTAGCAGTATACTACTGGTATCTAGTGGGTAGAGGCCAGGGATGCTGCTTAATGTCTTATAAAGTACAGGAAATCCTCCTCCAACAAAGAATGATTTGGCCCAAAGTGTCAAGAGTGTCACAGGTGAAGCACTCTGCTTGAATATGACATTCAAGAAGCTCTAAGCCAGCTTTTCTCAATTGGGGATTCTATAAGATAATTATCCCTAGCCATAATTACACATGGATCGTATGTAATGAATTATCTTCTCTGCTACGTATGTAGAATGGTACCGTCTTTAAAAGAATTCAGAAAATAATATTGTCATGCAAGTCTTTTTTTCTTTTTTAGGGGGCTTAATACTTTCACAGAACCCTGGCTAAGAACAGTTGCTGTAGACATTCTGGTTATCCAGGGCAGAATAGGGCTTCATCCACACAAAGAGTCTGCTGGACCTCTGAGAGAATGCAAGATGCTCTAACTAATCCTCATCCCAAACTGATTCTACCTTTTAGAAATAAAATGTATTTAGGGAAAATAACTTACAGTAGGGTCACCACTGAAGTCAAGGCCAAGAACTATATCCTCAGTAGAAAGAAAGAACTCTTCAGCAAGTTTAACAGTCTCCTTGGCTACTGAAGGGCCACCTCTTCTGTCGATTGCTATTAAATACCTTTAATATAAGAAAAATACAGTTGAAAAGGAATATAGTGCAGATAAAGAAGATAAATATAAGTATGACCAGAAAGGTATGCAGGCTACATGTAATATATCTTACTAAGAAAAGTACAAACCTGACATCTTATTTTGCCAGAGGGAATGAGATATAAATTCCTAAATAGTATCAAATATCCAGCTAGTGTTCAAAATTCTCATTGTCTCATGGTTGTTTGTTCATGTATTTGTTTTTTTAGTTTGCTTGATTCAGAATCCAACTGAGGTCCACACATTGTGTTGGTCCATGTCTATTAAATCTTTTAAAATTTACAGCCATCCCCTCTACATCCCCACCCTTTACTCCCTACCTCTTTTCTTGAATTTACCTGCTGAAGAAACCAGGTCTTTTATTCTACAAAGCTTTCCACTGTCTGGATTTTATTGATTGAACCCCTGTGTTGCTACCATGTTCTCCTGCCTCTTGTATTTCCTATAAATTGGAAATTGAATCTAGGCTAGAGGCTTAATTAGATCAGATTCAATTTTTTGGCAGCAGTATTTCGTAGGTGGCTTAAAAATTATTAATATTCTAATTCTAACATGTATCGAATAGCTGATACAAATTCATTCTTCATATATGAGCTGGAATTCTACAAGGAATCTAATACCCAGAGAACCTGTTAATATTGTATAATTTTCTTCCAGCATTTATTAGTTTATCTGTTTATTCACACACAAAAATATATTCACACACAAAAATTAATTCTTCTAGCATTTACTTACAAAATGTGGATCAACTATATATAAAAGGAGTCTTTTTTTCCCCCACTTAATTTCCCCTGCCATTAAATAATGTTAGAAAACAATATAAATCATATGAACATAATATAATTGTCCTGATAGCCAGACATTTTAGGATGTTTTCTCCTTTTTGTTAAAGTAATACAACAATGAAGACTCTTACACATAAATCCTATTTCCTTAGGATACATTTCTAGAAGACAACTACTGAGTCAGAGGGTAAATTCTTTTTATAGATCTTAATATATACTGTTCTTTAGAGAGGTTTTATTAATTACATATGCCCACCAGCAATGTGTAAATTCACAAACCCTGGTTATTACTCTCTTTTGGGGGAAGGGAGAACTACTGAAATGGCACTGTAATATTTTCTTTTACAATTATCTGATTAGTGAGTTTAAATAGTTTTCTATATATTTATTGGCCACTTGTATGTCTTCTTTTCTGAATTCTTGTCTTTTGTGTTTTTGTATTGGGGTATTGGTCTAGTTAAACTTATTTTGAGAGATCTTATACCCAGAAACTATACAGTTAGCTTTCTTGTGTTCTTCAACGACTTAGTGAGGCCTGACTATGTACCAGCTCTGATCTAAGTATTGGAGGTACAGAGGTGAATCAGAAGACAAGGTCTCTGGCCTCACTGAATTTACATTCTAGTGGGTGAGTATGTATACACAAATAAAACAAGATAATTGTTAAGAAGAGTGCCATGAAGAAAATAAACAAGGTGACTAGAGGATTTTGTAGGGGCACTTCAGATAAGACTCCTGTGAGAAAGTGGTAGCCAAACTGAGACCTAAATAATGAGAAGTCAAGGATATGGTGGAAGTATGTTCTAGGTAAAGGTAACAGAAAGTACCAAGGTGCTGAGGTGGGACAATTTGGGGCTATTTGAGGAACAGAGAGCAGACCAGTACATAATAAGTGACAAATGGTCCAGATGAGGCTGTTGAAGTAAGCAAGGCAGCCAGACCATGTGGAACCTATATGTCACAGTAAGAAGTCTAGATTTTAGCTGAAGCCATACTTCACTAGAGCCACAGTACTAAGAATTTTATTGTCATGTGAATTAAATCAGAATTGCATTCTTAAGTTTAAACAACAGCATTTTTAATTCTGTTTTCTTTCTATTATAAGATAAAAATTAGTTATTGGGTGATTTATAAAAATCCAAAATACCCATGATCAAAATAGTAACATTTTCACACTCTAGTTTTAAAATGGTGACCACTAAGGTACAATGCTTCTTACCTAACATCAATGTCTAAGTTTTCTTGTTTGGACTGTTTTATACCCTCAAGTACAGATGCCACATAAGTCTTTGTAGTCATTCCTGCAAAGAACACAAATAAAACATTTGTAAAGAGATCGATTATTTCATCCTTCAACATTAGCATGCCTATATGAACAATTACATTATCAGTTCATGTTGTAACAGGAACATGGTTAAAGATGACATACAACACAGCTCTTATGGGTACATTTTAGTAAATGCTAATTGTACTTTAATAAAACTGAAAAAAAAAATTGAAGTACCAGAAAAATTAAATGAAAAAGAAGACATACCAGGGAGAGAAAGACAAATACCAAATGATTTCCCTCATTTGTGGAGTATAACAACGAAGCAAAACTGAAGGAACAAAACAGCAGCAGACTCACAGACTCCAAAAAGGCACTAGCGGTTACCAAAGGGGAGGGGTGGGAGAGGGCAGGTGGGTGGGGAGGGAGGGAGAAGGGGATTGAGGGGTATTATGATTAGTTCACATGGTGAGTGTGGGGTCATGGGGAAGGCAGTGTAGCTCAGAGAAGACAAGTAGAGACTCTGTGGCATCTTAGTACACTGATGGGCAGTGACTGCAATGGGGCATGGGGGTGACTCGATAATAAGGGTGAATGTAGTAACCACATTGTTTTTCTTATGAAACCTTCATAAGAGTGTATGTCAATGATACCTTAATAAAAAAAAAGAAAGAAAAAAGAAGACATACAAAACACAAGCGTATTTAAAAATTATCCTTAGATTCAATGGACATAGAACTACTCTCAGAAATTGCTGGAAAAATTATAAATGCTTGTTCAAACAAAACAAGAACATTATGCCCTTCTCTAAGGCTTGTCCTTAAAAAACAAAACAACAAAAATGATTTTTCTCTATTGGCAGAATGTTTTCCCATTAGTACAGGAAAAACTTCTATCCTGTGTTCTTTTTTCTTTAGTTCTGCTCAGGTTGTGTTTCTTGTCCAGGGCAGTAGAGATGTGCTCCCAAGTCTGGATGCTCACGTCATCCTCTTCTGGGGGACTTTCCAGAACAGCCTCCTCTGAAATACTCTGTGCCCCAACTATAAAATACCTACTTTGGGTGGAAAATCACCAGTGAAACTCAGAAAATAATAAAAAAGGAAAATCATCTGTAATCCCACCAAAGATAAAACCATCATTTTTGTTTTTCTAAGTATACATATACATTTTTTAAATAGATGAGATGCTACTGTTCAGTCATTTAACACTGTCTTCTGAGCATATCCCCGTATCACTAAAGTGTTCTTTGCATGTATTTTTAATGGTTGCCTAATGTTCCATTAAGCTTTATTTAACCATTCCCTTACTGTTGCATTTTTAGGTTAACATCTCCCTTTGACTCCATTCAAAGAGCAAATTGGCTCTAATAAGTGGTTTCTTCTCTCCTTCCCTTTCACTACTCTCATTACCAGTATAAGAATCTTCTGCTTGTCCCATTTCAATATTTACTTTACTGTGTATAGTTTAAAAAACTTTGCCCCCTGAATGATGACTGGGCTACACATCAGGGTGTGAGATGACCTGGTAGGGCCTCTTCAGGTAACAGACAAGGTACTAAGAAGGACTCAGTGTTACTACAAAATATCTCCTGATGATGCTCTTATAGAAAGGTCCCAAGAAATTTCTCCAGACTAAATAGAGATCCAGTCATTTCTATCCAGGAAGGTTTTATAACATGACAGCTTGTTCCTGGTCTAAGATACTATCATTTTGAGAGTGACTGAACAACCGTCAATTCAGTGACTGTCATAAAACATGATTCTGCGTCCACTCAGTGGCGTTGTCTCCCAAGCACCCTTGATTCAGAGAGCAAGAATTAGCCTCTAAGAGATACAACTATAAGGAGCATAGTGAGAAAAACAAACCAGGATAAAATTAATTTTTGCAGGCCTCTTCATTTCCCTTAAACAGATAATATCTGACCTGATTTTTTTAACTTAAGAATAACTCTTTCATTAATAACGGACATCATTAATGTACATCAGAAGATTGGACTGTTGACTCTACTTTTACAACAGTGTAAAGTAAGTGCTTCACATTTTCAACTTGCAAATACATGAATGATCAAAAAGCAAATGGAAAAAAGCATGTTTGCTGGAGAGTAATTAAATTCTACCTGTAGCATTTTCTCTTCTGGGTGTGCTCCTTAGTTCCAGGTACTTAACACCATCATCTGCAAATTCTTTAATGACATCTTTTGTGACCTGATAATTAATGTACACAATATTGCTAATGTTAATGCATGGGTCCCAATGAAAATGCCAAGTGTTACAGCCTTATTTCATGCATTAAATTTGATTCGGAAGGAATACTGAAGTCCCCTGAATTGTTAAGATTATCCACTTTGTCACACCCCTGGTGGAGCCTGTGACAGAACTAGGACATTTCTAATAGCTTTCAAAGTCCCCTCATTCTCACATTAAATTCAAATTTGCACATTATCCACATCTTTTATTTCTCTTCTCTTCTTTTAGCCACTTTAACCATTTCTCTACTTCCTAATATTCATAACAACAGATTGATAAAACAGAGAAATGAGGCAAAATTTAAACCATCTGTGAGTGTGTGCAGTACCAGGAAGGTACATGTGGAAATAAGTAGCTAAAATGATTAGATATTACTGATGTACCATTTAAGTCATGGTTCAAGGTTCTCAATCAAGTTACTTAGGAATAAGATGTACTTGTCAAGAGTTTCTTCAGGCAGGGCTAAATTTTCCCCAGAAATACTTAGGAAAAATCCTCTGAGGCAAAGAAAAGGGGTAATAATGAATAAAATTGTATGTAGCACATATCTCAGTAATCCAAGAACTAGTAAATGACCAGAGTAAATGATACCTAAAGACTGAATGAAGGTATGTTTTCCTTCTCTTCTATCAATCCTAAAAAATGCCCAATCTAGAAAAAAGGACTAGGTTGGCAATGCTGTGACAAACAGCCCCAGTTAGTCCTTACAGTTGACATCATCTTAACCTGCTTTGACTGCACGCATGCACACGGACATGCAAGTGCAGCATCCAGGCAAAGGAACAAGGGTTGGCTGCTTGTGCAGACGGTGCCTGACAGGGTGGCACTATCATGGGGGAGTCACTGCAATCCAACGTCTGGGCCTCATCTGTTTGTTTTTTTTTAATGAAAACGAAAAAGGAATATAAATATATTGGGAGGCTCAGATTCACCACATCCGGAGAGTCAGCCTTAGAGAGTACATAGCTCCAGGCAACACAACAGCATTCCAAATTAGACACCCTCTTCCCCACCACTGAGTGCAACCCTGCAGCCTGAGCCATCACTGCAGGCCCTGGACCCCGTGGCACTGCTGCCCGCCACCCCCAGGGTGTGTGGGCCTTGTCCTTACAAGCTGAGGAACAGGCATCTTGGCATTGCTCCAGAACTGAACAGACCGAGGGAGGCCAACTCACTCTACATGAGATTAATGCAGGAGCCTATATGTTAACGGGTGCTCTGACAGCAATGGTGAAAGTGAGGACATGAAGTGACAGTCCTTCTGAGTGACTGAAGGGATTGTATCTACTCTTTTACTACTAAGGTACAATGGGCACCTCCTTTCCTAGTGGCACCTGTGAAACCAAGTAAAACAGAAAGTTGCTGGCACGTGTAAGAGCAGTGGGAGGGAGAGTGCTCTAGGCCATGGTGAGGCTTGTGGCATCAGCCCTACCCTACGCCCAAGAACACTTCTCTGGATCCATACCTGTTTCTGCCAGATTCAGCCTTTTCTGTTCCACCTAGCAACTGGTACTGAGGGAAGCTCTTTGCTCCTTGGGCTTTCCTCTCCTATGCTCTAGACTGAGAACATCTATTCAAGTTCTTTCTTCAGAGAGAGTACATCACAAATTAGTTAAGTTTCTCCTTACTCAAAGGACAGTAAGACTGGTTATCTTGAATGAGAAAGAACACTGGCTCTGGAACCAGAGAGAGAGAGTCAAGTCTGGCACTAATTCTCTGTAAGTGAATAAATTACATTTAACCTCTTCAGGCCTCAGTTTTTTTCATCTGCATAAAGGGAACAATAAAAATACCGATCTTAGAAAGTAGTCTTGAGTATAGTTGTCTGGCACATGTAATATTAATAGTCTCATTCCAATCCTATCTCTTTGATATTACACTCATTCAGGTCACCTTAACTAGACTGTTAAGTGATCCCACATGCCCAGACCCACATTTACAAACAATCTCTTAACTTACTCCCATGTGGTTCATTTATTATATGTAAATGTCATTAATTTCACCCTCTGGGACATCTGTCATCCTCTGAACCACCTACAGGTGCTCATCCCAGTAGCAGTAAGTCAAATGCACAGAACCTTAATTCCTCACATTTTAATAAAGCTTTTTACCAACTTTGACAAGAATGAAACATGAGCATGGCATTATCATAGCCATGGACTATTAAACTCTCAAAATCTAGAAGTTCATCAGTTTTGCTCCATTACACTCAGCAACAGAAAATGAGATAGAACTCCTGTGGTTCACATTCCTAGCATTGTTAAATGGTATCTGTTGAGCAGCTGATTGGACAGTGCACCTTTGGGTTCCAGTAAATCCCTGTGCATGTTTCTAACACAGAGCTTACCTCATTATGTTGGATTTCTGGGTCTGTCTCTCCAAGCTAACTATCAGTTCCTCAGGGGCAGGGACCATGTCAGTCTGTCTTTATATCGCCTCATCTTTAGCACTGCGGGAACTCATCAACTTCTGTGGACTAAACTTGTGGAGCTAACTCTCCTCCCAAAGGTGACTGATTTACTTAATACTTATCATGAGGATCAGTCTCAACCAAGGAGGGGAATTCTTTCCTGACTTACACTTATACTCTGTATTTTTTCTAATGGTTAAGAACACGGATAGGATTTTGCTTCTCTCCATTTAAATGGACATTTTAAAATGCCATCCTGTTCAGATCAGTGATACAGAAGCCAGTCTTCCTTGTCAGTCTCTAGTATCACAGAACTTCAGATAAGAAAACACAGTGGTGTCCTCTAGTCCTTCATCCCCAGAGGAAAAACACCATTTCCCTGGGAGTTAATCATTCAATCTCTAAGCACTTCATGAGCTTCTTCTTTCTCTGTGATGTCTACCTAAGCAGTTAAAAGCATCCCAAGCAATACAGGTAAAGCCTTATAAAAGAGATGCCCATCTGTGGTCACATATTTCATATGATGTTACATATGGAAAACAGGACAAGATTTTCTCCTCCATGGTGTCCTCTATCTAATTGATGTTGACCTTGGTTCTTTTCTCATATTTTTTTAACAAAGGATGTAGTCTTTTGATATTAGCTCTTAGGCAAAATGTCTTACATTGGTTTTGAGAAGAGTTGCCATAAAAAAGCAGAAAACATTTTTCACCTGATATATGATGAAAGCAAAAGTTGGTGTGTAACAGAAGGGCAAAACAATTTTTAAGCCTTTATAAAAATTACATTGTTTCTCACCATTAGAATATCTTCAGGGCTGGTAGTAACCTGATGAATAATTTGAAACATCTGGAAACATCTGCAACATGGAAAGTTTCAACATACCCTTATCAAACTTGTCACTCAAGAAAACTCACTAAAAAACCAAATGAAATGAAACTAAATAGTTCCCCTTCTCCACCCCTACTCCCCACCACATCCTCTACCCCTGCCACTGACAGCAGAAAATGGGGAAAAATTGATAAGCCTGTATTTTCAAGTCTTAAGTATAACTTCACAAATAACATAAATCACTAAAAAACTGTCAAGTCTGACAGCTGGATAAAATGCTGATGTCAAGTTATGCTCACCACCCTAAATCACTACCCTATTCCTTTAACTACTAAAATCTGAATTCTGAATACCATATACAGTCTCAAAATAGTAATGGAGAAAAAAAATAGATCCACAACCTCCTTAAACTCACTCTTCTAAAGTTCTTTTCTTTTGCTTGTCAATCATCGTCATCTGTTCATGGATTTTAATACCTGGCTTCTTGGCTATTAATTTCTTCATGGTATTAGAACTAATAGATCCATTCAAGTGGGCATGAAGTTCCTAAAACAAAAGAACACAGTCAAAACTTCTCAAGTATTCACTAGATTCATAGCATCCTATCAGGTACCTGATTGGGTTTGTAGTCCATATTAGGCAAACTTCCTAATAGATATAGTTATATAACTTTTAAAGATTACAAATTCCACCTATAAAATTTACTTTTGTTTTGTGAAGGAAAAAAACAACAACACAGAAGTCGTTATAATTAGCACCCACTCCAGAATTCTGTGGATGGATTCTCACCACTTTAGGTAATTCTGAGTAGAAGGTTGTCTTCCATGGCTGATGTTGCTCTTCTGCTTCCATCATGATTTAGCAGAATAAAAAGATCTTTCTCCAAATGCACTTATTCTTGGTATGAACAATACAATGTATTTCAGTCAGTAAATTTTGTGGTCTTGAATTTCCTTCAGATGGCTTTACCTCCACACATTCTGATAAACCGTATGTACAGCTCTGGGTTCAGGCTCACCTACTTAAACAAATGTGGACATTTTCAGATGTTGATTTTAACACAAAGACACAGGATTTTGCTAACATTCCTCAAAAGACAAAATTCCCCCTCGCTAAAATTCCCAATCGTAATATAAGTTGGTCACAGGGATGGAAGTACAGCATGGAGAAAACAGTCAATAATTATGTAACATCTTCCAGTGTTGACAGATTGTAACCGCACTAAAAGGGCTCAAGGATTTAATAATATGGGTAACTGTTGAACCACTGTGATGTATATTTGAAACCAATATAAGATTGTACATCAATGATACTTCAATTAAAAAATGGACAAAAGGCCCTCCAAAGCTAACTTAAGTGAGCTAACAATCTCAACTAGAAATAATAAAGGCCTCAAGCTGGTAGGAGGTGGATTAAAAATCTGAAATTTAGTGGGGTATATTCCTTACCTATTAGCACTTTCTATAAAACTACTTCTAAAACTAGAAACTTATAAAGCCTATTTTGGGTAAAAAAAGTTTATATTTTTGAACTGTTTAAAATATATAAAGGAAAAGCAGAAGCACTGGAGTCAGATGGTAGGCACTAGCGGTTACCAAAGGGGAGGGGTGGGAGAGGGCAGGTGGGTGGGGAGGGAGGGAGAAGGGGATTGAGGGGTATTATGATTAGTTCACATGGTGAGTGTGGGGTCATGGGGAAGGCAGTGTAGCTCAGAGAAGACAAGTAGAGACTCTGTGGCATCTTAGTACACTGATGGGCAGTGACTGCAATGGGGCATGGGGGTGACTCGATAATAAGGGTGAATGTAGTAACCACATTGTTTTTCTTATGAAACCTTCATAAGAGTGTATGTCAATGATACCTTAATAAAAAAAAAGAAAGAAAAAAGAAGACATACAAAACACAAGCGTATTTAAAAATTATCCTTAGATTCAATGGACATAGAACTACTCTCAGAAATTGCTGGAAAAATTATAAATGCTTGTTCAAACAAAACAAGAACATTATGCCCTTCTCTAAGGCTTGTCCTTAAAAAACAAAACAACAAAAATGATTTTTCTCTATTGGCAGAATGTTTTCCCATTAGTACAGGAAAAACTTCTATCCTGTGTTCTTTTTTCTTTAGTTCTGCTCAGGTTGTGTTTCTTGTCCAGGGCAGTAGAGATGTGCTCCCAAGTCTGGATGCTCACGTCATCCTCTTCTGGGGGACTTTCCAGAACAGCCTCCTCTGAAATACTCTGTGCCCCAACTATAAAATACCTACTTTGGGTGGAAAATCACCAGTGAAACTCAGAAAATAATAAAAAAGGAAAATCATCTGTAATCCCACCAAAGATAAAACCATCATTTTTGTTTTTCTAAGTATACATATACATTTTTTAAATAGATGAGATGCTACTGTTCAGTCATTTAACACTGTCTTCTGAGCATATCCCCGTATCACTAAAGTGTTCTTTGCATGTATTTTTAATGGTTGCCTAATGTTCCATTAAGCTTTATTTAACCATTCCCTTACTGTTGCATTTTTAGGTTAACATCTCCCTTTGACTCCATTCAAAGAGCAAATTGGCTCTAATAAGTGGTTTCTTCTCTCCTTCCCTTTCACTACTCTCATTACCAGTATAAGAATCTTCTGCTTGTCCCATTTCAATATTTACTTTACTGTGTATAGTTTAAAAAACTTTGCCCCCTGAATGATGACTGGGCTACACATCAGGGTGTGAGATGACCTGGTAGGGCCTCTTCAGGTAACAGACAAGGTACTAAGAAGGACTCAGTGTTACTACAAAATATCTCCTGATGATGCTCTTATAGAAAGGTCCCAAGAAATTTCTCCAGACTAAATAGAGATCCAGTCATTTCTATCCAGGAAGGTTTTATAACATGACAGCTTGTTCCTGGTCTAAGATACTATCATTTTGAGAGTGACTGAACAACCGTCAATTCAGTGACTGTCATAAAACATGATTCTGCGTCCACTCAGTGGCGTTGTCTCCCAAGCACCCTTGATTCAGAGAGCAAGAATTAGCCTCTAAGAGATACAACTATAAGGAGCATAGTGAGAAAAACAAACCAGGATAAAATTAATTTTTGCAGGCCTCTTCATTTCCCTTAAACAGATAATATCTGACCTGATTTTTTTAACTTAAGAATAACTCTTTCATTAATAACGGACATCATTAATGTACATCAGAAGATTGGACTGTTGACTCTACTTTTACAACAGTGTAAAGTAAGTGCTTCACATTTTCAACTTGCAAATACATGAATGATCAAAAAGCAAATGGAAAAAAGCATGTTTGCTGGAGAGTAATTAAATTCTACCTGTAGCATTTTCTCTTCTGGGTGTGCTCCTTAGTTCCAGGTACTTAACACCATCATCTGCAAATTCTTTAATGACATCTTTTGTGACCTGATAATTAATGTACACAATATTGCTAATGTTAATGCATGGGTCCCAATGAAAATGCCAAGTGTTACAGCCTTATTTCATGCATTAAATTTGATTCGGAAGGAATACTGAAGTCCCCTGAATTGTTAAGATTATCCACTTTGTCACACCCCTGGTGGAGCCTGTGACAGAACTAGGACATTTCTAATAGCTTTCAAAGTCCCCTCATTCTCACATTAAATTCAAATTTGCACATTATCCACATCTTTTATTTCTCTTCTCTTCTTTTAGCCACTTTAACCATTTCTCTACTTCCTAATATTCATAACAACAGATTGATAAAACAGAGAAATGAGGCAAAATTTAAACCATCTGTGAGTGTGTGCAGTACCAGGAAGGTACATGTGGAAATAAGTAGCTAAAATGATTAGATATTACTGATGTACCATTTAAGTCATGGTTCAAGGTTCTCAATCAAGTTACTTAGGAATAAGATGTACTTGTCAAGAGTTTCTTCAGGCAGGGCTAAATTTTCCCCAGAAATACTTAGGAAAAATCCTCTGAGGCAAAGAAAAGGGGTAATAATGAATAAAATTGTATGTAGCACATATCTCAGTAATCCAAGAACTAGTAAATGACCAGAGTAAATGATACCTAAAGACTGAATGAAGGTATGTTTTCCTTCTCTTCTATCAATCCTAAAAAATGCCCAATCTAGAAAAAAGGACTAGGTTGGCAATGCTGTGACAAACAGCCCCAGTTAGTCCTTACAGTTGACATCATCTTAACCTGCTTTGACTGCACGCATGCACACGGACATGCAAGTGCAGCATCCAGGCAAAGGAACAAGGGTTGGCTGCTTGTGCAGACGGTGCCTGACAGGGTGGCACTATCATGGGGGAGTCACTGCAATCCAACGTCTGGGCCTCATCTGTTTGTTTTTTTTTAATGAAAACGAAAAAGGAATATAAATATATTGGGAGGCTCAGATTCACCACATCCGGAGAGTCAGCCTTAGAGAGTACATAGCTCCAGGCAACACAACAGCATTCCAAATTAGACACCCTCTTCCCCACCACTGAGTGCAACCCTGCAGCCTGAGCCATCACTGCAGGCCCTGGACCCCGTGGCACTGCTGCCCGCCACCCCCAGGGTGTGTGGGCCTTGTCCTTACAAGCTGAGGAACAGGCATCTTGGCATTGCTCCAGAACTGAACAGACCGAGGGAGGCCAACTCACTCTACATGAGATTAATGCAGGAGCCTATATGTTAACGGGTGCTCTGACAGCAATGGTGAAAGTGAGGACATGAAGTGACAGTCCTTCTGAGTGACTGAAGGGATTGTATCTACTCTTTTACTACTAAGGTACAATGGGCACCTCCTTTCCTAGTGGCACCTGTGAAACCAAGTAAAACAGAAAGTTGCTGGCACGTGTAAGAGCAGTGGGAGGGAGAGTGCTCTAGGCCATGGTGAGGCTTGTGGCATCAGCCCTACCCTACGCCCAAGAACACTTCTCTGGATCCATACCTGTTTCTGCCAGATTCAGCCTTTTCTGTTCCACCTAGCAACTGGTACTGAGGGAAGCTCTTTGCTCCTTGGGCTTTCCTCTCCTATGCTCTAGACTGAGAACATCTATTCAAGTTCTTTCTTCAGAGAGAGTACATCACAAATTAGTTAAGTTTCTCCTTACTCAAAGGACAGTAAGACTGGTTATCTTGAATGAGAAAGAACACTGGCTCTGGAACCAGAGAGAGAGAGTCAAGTCTGGCACTAATTCTCTGTAAGTGAATAAATTACATTTAACCTCTTCAGGCCTCAGTTTTTTTCATCTGCATAAAGGGAACAATAAAAATACCGATCTTAGAAAGTAGTCTTGAGTATAGTTGTCTGGCACATGTAATATTAATAGTCTCATTCCAATCCTATCTCTTTGATATTACACTCATTCAGGTCACCTTAACTAGACTGTTAAGTGATCCCACATGCCCAGACCCACATTTACAAACAATCTCTTAACTTACTCCCATGTGGTTCATTTATTATATGTAAATGTCATTAATTTCACCCTCTGGGACATCTGTCATCCTCTGAACCACCTACAGGTGCTCATCCCAGTAGCAGTAAGTCAAATGCACAGAACCTTAATTCCTCACATTTTAATAAAGCTTTTTACCAACTTTGACAAGAATGAAACATGAGCATGGCATTATCATAGCCATGGACTATTAAACTCTCAAAATCTAGAAGTTCATCAGTTTTGCTCCATTACACTCAGCAACAGAAAATGAGATAGAACTCCTGTGGTTCACATTCCTAGCATTGTTAAATGGTATCTGTTGAGCAGCTGATTGGACAGTGCACCTTTGGGTTCCAGTAAATCCCTGTGCATGTTTCTAACACAGAGCTTACCTCATTATGTTGGATTTCTGGGTCTGTCTCTCCAAGCTAACTATCAGTTCCTCAGGGGCAGGGACCATGTCAGTCTGTCTTTATATCGCCTCATCTTTAGCACTGCGGGAACTCATCAACTTCTGTGGACTAAACTTGTGGAGCTAACTCTCCTCCCAAAGGTGACTGATTTACTTAATACTTATCATGAGGATCAGTCTCAACCAAGGAGGGGAATTCTTTCCTGACTTACACTTATACTCTGTATTTTTTCTAATGGTTAAGAACACGGATAGGATTTTGCTTCTCTCCATTTAAATGGACATTTTAAAATGCCATCCTGTTCAGATCAGTGATACAGAAGCCAGTCTTCCTTGTCAGTCTCTAGTATCACAGAACTTCAGATAAGAAAACACAGTGGTGTCCTCTAGTCCTTCATCCCCAGAGGAAAAACACCATTTCCCTGGGAGTTAATCATTCAATCTCTAAGCACTTCATGAGCTTCTTCTTTCTCTGTGATGTCTACCTAAGCAGTTAAAAGCATCCCAAGCAATACAGGTAAAGCCTTATAAAAGAGATGCCCATCTGTGGTCACATATTTCATATGATGTTACATATGGAAAACAGGACAAGATTTTCTCCTCCATGGTGTCCTCTATCTAATTGATGTTGACCTTGGTTCTTTTCTCATATTTTTTTAACAAAGGATGTAGTCTTTTGATATTAGCTCTTAGGCAAAATGTCTTACATTGGTTTTGAGAAGAGTTGCCATAAAAAAGCAGAAAACATTTTTCACCTGATATATGATGAAAGCAAAAGTTGGTGTGTAACAGAAGGGCAAAACAATTTTTAAGCCTTTATAAAAATTACATTGTTTCTCACCATTAGAATATCTTCAGGGCTGGTAGTAACCTGATGAATAATTTGAAACATCTGGAAACATCTGCAACATGGAAAGTTTCAACATACCCTTATCAAACTTGTCACTCAAGAAAACTCACTAAAAAACCAAATGAAATGAAACTAAATAGTTCCCCTTCTCCACCCCTACTCCCCACCACATCCTCTACCCCTGCCACTGACAGCAGAAAATGGGGAAAAATTGATAAGCCTGTATTTTCAAGTCTTAAGTATAACTTCACAAATAACATAAATCACTAAAAAACTGTCAAGTCTGACAGCTGGATAAAATGCTGATGTCAAGTTATGCTCACCACCCTAAATCACTACCCTATTCCTTTAACTACTAAAATCTGAATTCTGAATACCATATACAGTCTCAAAATAGTAATGGAGAAAAAAAATAGATCCACAACCTCCTTAAACTCACTCTTCTAAAGTTCTTTTCTTTTGCTTGTCAATCATCGTCATCTGTTCATGGATTTTAATACCTGGCTTCTTGGCTATTAATTTCTTCATGGTATTAGAACTAATAGATCCATTCAAGTGGGCATGAAGTTCCTAAAACAAAAGAACACAGTCAAAACTTCTCAAGTATTCACTAGATTCATAGCATCCTATCAGGTACCTGATTGGGTTTGTAGTCCATATTAGGCAAACTTCCTAATAGATATAGTTATATAACTTTTAAAGATTACAAATTCCACCTATAAAATTTACTTTTGTTTTGTGAAGGAAAAAAACAACAACACAGAAGTCGTTATAATTAGCACCCACTCCAGAATTCTGTGGATGGATTCTCACCACTTTAGGTAATTCTGAGTAGAAGGTTGTCTTCCATGGCTGATGTTGCTCTTCTGCTTCCATCATGATTTAGCAGAATAAAAAGATCTTTCTCCAAATGCACTTATTCTTGGTATGAACAATACAATGTATTTCAGTCAGTAAATTTTGTGGTCTTGAATTTCCTTCAGATGGCTTTACCTCCACACATTCTGATAAACCGTATGTACAGCTCTGGGTTCAGGCTCACCTACTTAAACAAATGTGGACATTTTCAGATGTTGATTTTAACACAAAGACACAGGATTTTGCTAACATTCCTCAAAAGACAAAATTCCCCCTCGCTAAAATTCCCAATCGTAATATAAGTTGGTCACAGGGATGGAAGTACAGCATGGAGAAAACAGTCAATAATTATGTAACATCTTCCAGTGTTGACAGATTGTAACCGCACTAAAAGGGCTCAAGGATTTAATAATATGGGTAACTGTTGAACCACTGTGATGTATATTTGAAACCAATATAAGATTGTACATCAATGATACTTCAATTAAAAAATGGACAAAAGGCCCTCCAAAGCTAACTTAAGTGAGCTAACAATCTCAACTAGAAATAATAAAGGCCTCAAGCTGGTAGGAGGTGGATTAAAAATCTGAAATTTAGTGGGGTATATTCCTTACCTATTAGCACTTTCTATAAAACTACTTCTAAAACTAGAAACTTATAAAGCCTATTTTGGGTAAAAAAAGTTTATATTTTTGAACTGTTTAAAATATATAAAGGAAAAGCAGAAGCACTGGAGTCAGATGGACCTAGGTTAATCCTTTTACCAGTTCCTCCATTTAGTAGCTATGTGGCCTTAAGTCATTTAACTATGGCTTTAGTGTTATTATTCCCAAAAATGGGATAAAAATGCAGAATAGCTGAGGATTAATATAGTTATTTAAATTCACCTCTTCTATGCACCTATATAACTCAGTGACTACCTTTAACTCAGGACTTTACCACATTGTATCTCAATCACTGATTTACTTGTCTTTCTTCCTCACCAAGACTGTAAACTTCCTAAGAACAAGAACTATGGCATAGTCCTCTTCCCTAGCACCAGCACACTGTAGGGAATAAATAAATCCTACTTTCCCTTCACCAAGGTGGCTTATAAATTAAGATAAAATTCCAAATGAAATTTAGTGATTTTCAAAGTAGTCACCTTGACTCCTGTGGTTTTTCACATATTGATGATGATGGTGTTGATACGAATAGCAGTTCCATTCCGAACATACCAGGTGAGAAGCAAGAACTTTTAATAATTATGCTTAATTCTCCACTAATTCTGCAAAATTTATATATTTACCACATTACAAATTAATAAACTGATACCAAGAGGAGTTAAATATTTACTAAGATATTGAAATATATATATATTTTGTATATATAGACAATGCCATAGAAATCTACAGAAAGGCCAATTCAGTATGAGACAAAAGTGGGAGTTCACTGGAATGCCATAGTAAGTGATTAATAAATAGTAATAAATGAAAAAGATGGACTATTTGTTTAATATCTTTATTGAAGTTCACAAGAGACATAACTAAAATGGAAAGATGTATCTTACACAGGCAAAGTTAATTTATTATAAACTGACCTGTAAGACAAATGTTAAAAAATTTCTCAAAATTATTCCTTAGAAATTGATTTGTAAAGTTCACATGGAAGATTTAACTTATAAAATTATCCAGAAAAAATTCTGAACCTCATAAAAATAATTTCCAACACTGATGGAGGTGTGACTAAAAGTTCTGTTAGGAGCACAACTCAGTATAATCTTTTTGGAAAGAAACTTGGCAATATCTACTTAAACACACACACATACAACCCCACATATTTTTTGCCCCAATAATCCTACTTTTAGGAATTCATCCTGTATCTTATATGGTTTGTACAAATACATTTCTTTAGCATTCTTTAAAACAACAAAAAATTAGAAACAATGTAGATGTCCATCAGTAGGGTACTGTCTAAATTAATTAATATCCATCCAACTGAATATCTATGACTATGTGGAAAACTAATATTTGATAGGGTATTTCTACTAAAAAGTAAATTGCAAAATATATTGTTCAGAAAGATATTTATGAGCAAAGCATGTATGTATGTATGTATGTATACACACAAAATCATCTATTTACAATCTTTATTCTTAAAACACATATGGGGAGAGAGCAAGCCAAGATGGCAGCGTGAGTAGAGCAACGGAAATCTCCTCCCAAAACCACATATATTTTTGAAAATACAACAAATACAACTCTCCCTAAAAGAGAGACCAGAAGACACAGGACAACAGCCAGACTACATCCACACCTGCGAGAACCCAGCACCTCGCGAAGGGGGTAAGATAAAAGCTGCAGCCCGGTGGGACCCGAGCGCCCCTCACTCCAGCTCCGGGAGGGAGGGGAGGAGTCAGAGCAGTGAGGGAGAGGGAGCCCAGGACTGCTAAACACCCAGCCCTAGCCATCCTCACCAGAGCGCAGACTTCAGCCATAAGAAAAAAACAGATCCTACCATTTGCAACAACATGGATGGAGCTAGAGGGTATTATGCTCAGTGAAATAAGCAAGGCAGAGAAAGACAAGTACCAAGTGATTTCACTCATATGTGCAGTATAAGACCTAAGGAAAACTGAAGGAACAAAACAGCAGCAGAATCACAGAACCCAAGAATGGACTAATAGTTACCAAAGGGAAAGGGACTGGGGAGGATGGGTGGGAAGGAAGGGACAAGGGCAGGGAAAAAGAAAGGGGGCATTACAATTAGCATGTATAATGTGTGTGGGGCACAGGGAAGGCTGTACAACACAGAGAAGACATGAAGTGATTTTACAGCATCTTGCTACGCTGATGAACAGTGACTGTGAAGGGGTATGTGGGGGGGACTTGGTGAAGGGGGGAGCCCAGTAAACATAATGTTCTTCATCTAAGTGTAGATTAATGATAACAAAAAAAAAAACACATATGGAAGGATACATAGAAACTGCTGCCTTTAGATGGCTGGTTAGAAGTAGCAAAGGTCAGGGGAGAGAATTTTACTTTTATTTACCTTATATAGTTTTGTAGAATTTGAAGGTTTTACAAGCATAAAATACTTAATTACTTTTTGAAATAATAAAATTAAATTAACATATTTAAAAGAATTGTTTATAAAATAAATCATTTAAAAAATTCACAAAACAGCTTTTTTTATGAATTACTAGAGGGAAGAACTTAATGTTCAGGTAATAGGAAGCCTAAAAAAGCACTTTGGAGGTAACAAATCTGAAAGGTGGCTAGCTTTTCATCTGTATTTTCCATCCTTCTGATCTTATTTTGTGCCACGTTCAAACCACCCTCCAGACTACCTTTAACTAGTTGTGAGTATATTTACTGACCCACTGGCTACAATGTTAACGAATGGAAATTTGGGAGCCACCCAAACAGGCACAGTCTACACATTAAAAAAGAAATGATTTACTCATCCATGACTAAGATACTGCTATCAACAATATCATGCCTACCAAATTCAACCTTTCTGTGCTGGGTTTGGATGGGCCAGAAGAAGCTGGAGTGGGGATGAGGAGCCAAAGGCAACACATGGAGTTAAGATTTTTTTATGTTTGTTGCTATATTTCTAGGGCAGAGCCAGAACCAATCTCCTGCTTCTCAGATAAGTTTTTTTCATGCTAAAAAAGGAACTCAGAATAATAACATTTGTTACTATTTATTAAGCATCTATGAGCTATGCACTGTGCTAAGTGTCTTAGATGGTTATTTTACTCAATCCTCACTACAACCCATGAAGTATTATTATCCCCATAAAAATAAACAGATTAAATATAATAAGCAGAAAACAATCATAAGGCACCCAAATCACAGATTTTGCTCCATTCTCTCTCTCCTTGAATCACTTTTCCTGATCTGGTCTTTACCAAAAAGGCAGTATTTCCCAAGTTAATCTGACTTTTCTGTTCCTCCAACCTCTCTCTCCACTGGCCAATTTCTCTCAGGGGATCAACATGCATGTACAGTATCCAAAAAACACAAAAAACAAAAACTCTTTTATCCACATTTTCCTTCTGAGCTAAGCTCCTTGAAAGCATAATTTAGACCGGCTGTCTCCATTTACTTATTTTTCCATTCACTAAAATATGGATTCTGTCCTTATTGCTACAGAAATTGCTTTACCTGAGGTCATTACGAAGTCTTAAACACCAAATCTTAATTATACTTTTAAATAATCAAACCTTTATCCTGACTCAAACTCTTGAGTTCCAATATCCAAATCCAAATTGGCTGGACTCCAAAACTCATGCTCTTAACAGCTATGCTGTACTACTTCAAGGTAACCTTATAGTCATCCCGATTTCCTTCTTCCCCCGCGTCAGTCACCAGATACCAATTAATAAAATTACAAGTCTCATAAATATCTCTGGAAGAGCTTTCCTACTGATTACTCCCAAACACCCAATTTAGAAACTCGATGGTTATTTTAAACCTCCAACAAAACTCAGACTGTATCAGAGGGAATAATCTCTCTTCTGTGGACATACTCAACACTACCCTAGTATCACAGAACTCTGAAAGTGGAGGAGAATGTCATTCTATAGCTGAGAAACAGAGGCTGAGTGGTTTACTTATTGTCAGCTTTGCACAGAGCTGGTTAATACAAGGGAATCGATATAGTATGTATCTGTGGGGTAGTTTACTGGGTGAATCACCACCTCTGCAGTTTCTTCACTTTGCACCTGGCCTCACTGACTTGTCCGCAGATTTAAATGGCATCTCTTTTGTAAGGATGAAAGCATTAAGTAAATTCCTAAGTACTAGTTAATGAGGATCCAACAAACGACCTCTTCTCCTTGTCCATCAAGGTCAGTGGTTCTAACCCTGCTTTGGCCTTACGAGACAACTTAATGAGGACCCTGTCATCCAAGGAGGTCTGGGTGTCAGTCCCCACAGACTCACCTCTCCAAGATGTTAGTCTGCTATGAGAAGTTAAGATAAATTTTCCCTTCGGACGTAAAGGCTTGTAGAAAAATGACAACCCGCGCTTCCCCGACACAATTCAAGGCTCCACAATAAACAGCGGCGAGGAGTCTTCCGGCAAAAACGCGGTCCTCCGAGAAGAGTCAAATCACAGTCGAACTTGAGCACAAGCTAAACCTTCCTCAGTTCGGATTGGCGAGGTGCATTCTCCGGAAGTGACGCATCAGATTCGCCGGCGGAGGGGAGGTCACGGAAGTGAGGTGACTTCTGCTCTTAAATGTATGAGGCGGGTGCTATAGAACGAAAGCGTAGCCTCCCGCTGTCCTGACCCTCTCCTGGCTATGGGCCCACGGAGCCGCCAGCGGCGGGCAGGGGCGATACAGAGTACCAACGACAGCAGCGCCCTCAGCAAGAGTTCCCTGGCCGCGCGTGGGTACGTGCACGACCCCTTCGCCGCCTTGCTGGTTCCGGGGACCGTGCGCCGCGCGCCGCTCATCCACCGCGGTTACTACGTCCGCGCGCGCGCCATACGCCACTGCGTTCACACCTTCTTAGAACGGACGTGCGCGGTCAGTGGCGCGTCTCGCGCGCAGATCCTGTCGCTGGGCGCGGGTTCGGACTCGCTGTATTTTCGCTTGAAAGCTGCGGGCCTCCTGACCCGGACTGCAGTGTGGGAAGTAGATTATCCGGATGTGGCGCGGCGCAAAGCGGAAAGGATTGGAGATACGCCGGAACTGTCCGCGTTAACTGGGCCTTTCCAGACGGGGGATCCCGAGTCAGCGCTCTGCTTTGCGAGCTTGGACTACCGCATCCTGGGCCTGGACCTGCGGCAGCTCCAGCGACTGGACCAGGCCCTGGCCGCCGCGGGACTTGATCCGGCCGCACCCACTCTGCTCCTGGCTGAGGCTGTGCTGACTTACCTTGAGGCGGATAATGCCGCCGCCCTCATCGCCTGGACAGCCCAGCGTTTCCCTAATGCCCTTTTCGTGATCTACGAGCAGATGAGGCCGCATGACGCCTTTGGCCAATTCATGCAGCAACATTTTCGGCAGCTAAATTCTCCCCTGCATGGCCTGGACCGCTTTCCCGATGTGGAGGCCCAGCAGCATCGCTTCCTTCGGGCTGGCTGGACTGCTTGTAGTGCCCTGGACATGAATGAATTCTATCGCCGCTTTCTTCCCGAGGAAGAATGCCGGCGAGTGGAAAATCTTGAACCTTTTGATGAGTTTGAAGAATGGCATCTGAAGTGCTCCCACTATTTCATTTTAGCCGCGTCTAGGGGCAGTGCATTCTCCCAAACTCTGGTGTTTCCTCGCTCACAGGTGTTTCATCGGGTAGATCCCGCTTCCCCTTCAGGTGCCTTTCCTGCCAGTGTGGTCACTAGTGCCCGCCAGGACCCAGACCTTAAGAGATATGGCCACGCTTCTGTCCTTTTGAGCCCAGAAATTATTCTCAGTACAGGAGGATTTGGGGAGGAGGAGGGGCGGCATTGTCGAGTGAGCACGTTTCATTTGCTGTCAAGATACTGTGACTTTAAATGGAAAGGCAGTCAGATACGCAATTGGGGGACCGGAGCTCCGTGGGATGGACGCCTTTATCACACCATGACAAGACTTTCAGATACTCAGGTTCTGGTTCTAGGAGGCCGACTGTCCCCAGTAACTCCATCCTTGGGGATACTTCAACTTCGTTTGTGTAAGAGTGACAGTGGTAATAGCATTGAGGACCTAAACATAACAGTAACAAAGGCCGGCCCAGAAGCAGATTCTATTTTGTCACGTTGGCGACATTCAACAACAAACATGTCTTATGAGAATCAGAAATATTTGTTTGTGTATGGGGGTCGAAGTGTGGTGGATCCTGTACTGAGTGACTGGCATTTCCTGCATGTGGGGACAATGACTTGGGTCAGGATCCCAGTGGAGGGGGAAGCACCTGAAGGACGGCATTCCCACAGTGCCTGCAGCTGGCAAGGGGGAGCCCTCATTGCAGGAGGTCTAGGTGCTTCTGAAGAGCCACTGAGCTCTGTGCTCTTTCTGAAACCAATCTCTGGTGGATTCCTCTGGGAATCAGTAGTAATCCAGCCTCCCATTACCCCAAGATACGCCCACACAGCTCATGTGCTCAATGGGAAGCTTCTGCTGGTGGGAGGGATCTGGATTCATTCCTCCTCAGTTCTTGGCGTGACTGTTATTGATTTGACTGCAGGATTGAGTTCTGAGTATCAGATTGACACAACATGTGTGCCGTGGCCATTAATGTTACACAATCATAGCAGCATTCTCCTTCCTGAAGAGCAACAGCTTCTGCTCCTTGGTGGTGGTGGGAACTGCTTTTCCTTTGGCACCTACTTCAATCCCCATACAGTGACATTAGACCTTTCTTCCTTACGTGCTGGGTAGTAAGGACTAGACGTTTTTATATATTCAGGACCCACTAAAGTAGACAATAAAAGATTTCCACAAACAGGATTTGACTCTGGGTATAGATACTACTACTACTCCCGCTCCTTCCTTTTTTTTAAATTTTTCATTAGTACTATTATCCAGGGCAGAACATGAAAGAGGTTCATATTTATTTAGATTTAAAACTGCTAATAAACCACAGATTTGTTGTCTCAACTCATTTTGTACACAGCATGATAATGATACGTTTTGCTCCAGATCTACTCTCCATCTTTCACTGTGTTCTGTGCTCCAGATAGCTGATCTTTATGAACTGCATTAAGTTTTCTTGTCCTCTAGTTTCTGGTGTGTTCCACTGTTCAGAGGCACAAGAGGGGGATGGTCAGGAAGAGTGAGTCAGTATTCCCAGCATTTCCCCTACCAGTCCAAAAGTTGGCAGTAGCTACATTCTGTCACACAGCTCCTGTCATGTTGTTCTCCTCTATTAAAAACAACTTGAATTCTGCAACACTCCAGGCTCCAATAATTGTTCCTTCTTATTTAATCAAGCCTAGGAGTTGTAATGGCTCTGCTGTTTCTGAGCTGCACTGTTTAATACAATAGCCATTAGCTATGTGTGGCTATTTAAACTTAAATTAATTGAGATTAAATTTAAGAATTGAGTGGCTTAGTTGCATTAACCACATTTTAAGTGCTCAATAGCTCAATAGTGGCTAATGGATACAGTACTAGACAATATAGATGTAGAACATTTCCATCATTGCAGAAAGATCTGGACACTGCTGAGGTATGACCATCTTGACTTAGTTTCCCCTAGCCCTGCTCACCCCCTTTTAATCAGTATCTTCATTAAACTCTACTTGATTATTCCCTTTAAACAGACTATCTTTCCTAGTGAGACTTGTGAGATCAATGAAATATCTTAGGTATTCACTCTTAAAATTTGAGCCTTTATTTGTCATCTAACTCATACTTCAAAAAAGTTCACATCTCAAAGGTTAGTGGCTTTGGTGATAGATACTAAGTATACCATTTTAGTATTTCTTGTTAGTCTGCAGTCCTTGAAACAACACATTGGGATTCTACAAGTACTATCAATGTCAACATCTTGATGGACTTAATAAGACACAATTTTTCCCTAATTATTTTTATTAACTTTGCATAAATGAGTGAATATGAAAGACGATTAACATAAAACTGAGGAACAAACACAAAAATAGCACATAGAAGGGCAGTGTCGGCTGTTAGAGGAAGGCAAAAAGAGAAGGCCAGGGGACGACAAGCTGAATAAAGGGTTGTCTTAACTTCAGCTTCCCTGAGACTGCAGGAGCCTTTCTGTGGAAGTTCTCAGTTATGGTCATGAATAAGTCCTGGCAAACAATGGGTTTACTACAGCTAGGCATCTGGCAAGGCAAGAGATGCTCCAGGTACTAAATAACTGGCAGGATTATGATCAGAAGGGGAAAAGGCTGCCTTGGGTTTCCTGTTTCTAAATTCACCACAGTCCACCTCCAACTTTGAGGAGCAGAGCATTGAAGAGATGGACCTAAAATGACTCCAAAACCCAGGGTACACTTTCCATTATGCTACCCATTAGACGGTGCCATCAACCATTATTATTTCATCACTTTTGTGGTGGGGAGGAAGGAGGTGGTGGGGTGGGGATTGTCAGGAGAATGTGGATGTGTGCCCGACCTAAATTAGTAGTGCAGTGGTGCCTGCTGCATTGAGCACTATCCAGTATGGCGCATTATGAGTAACTGGGCTTGTTCTCCCCAGAGAAATTACCCGCATTTTCTGCAAGTGATTACCAGATTAAGTGTGCCCTCCACCTCTAACCCTACACATGCATCATACTCAGTTAAGGAATTATTCATTTCTCAAGCTTCACTCATTAGAGCACTTAGAAGTTTTGTCAGCAACACTGACTCTGTGCCTTCAGGCAGCACTCAGTATGGACTAGCGCTGGATCTCAGTTTCATAACAGTAATCAGCAGCAGCCAGAGATGTTGCCCAGGTGGAGAACTGAAGTTGGACAATCATTTTTGCCTCTTCATCTCACCTCTGAATATTTTTGTTCCAAAATTCTAGTATGGAGCTCTGGGGTAGTTATGAAATGTAATAAAAGGACTTCTCCTTGTTAGTGATAGTACTTCTTTTTAGACCAGAAAAACCAGTTAAGGAAGGAAGAGAATTTGTGATTTTGAATCTCTATCAGGGTCTCAAAAACAGTGTCATACTTGTAAGGATTTGAAAACAAGGCTAAGAACAACTCTTCTAGGATATGCTCTTCAAAAGCTAGTGCTGTCACTTCCTTATGTGTTTTCTGGATTTATCACTGAATATCCATTTTTCATCTTTCTGAAGGTTTAATCCTCCTTAGTTGATGTTAGGAAGTTGCCTTGTGATGTGTGTCCCAGTGCCTAGACACAGCCTGATCTTCTCTCTCAGTGGTCTCAGACCTTGAAGTCCTTGTTTATTCCGTATATTTTGTGATCCCAAGCCCAACTTCAAACAACCCATGCCTACTCTGGGAGCCATCCCATATGACATCTGGAAGACACTCCCATATGGCAGCCCCCAGTGCAACCAACCATGCTTTCCCTGTGTAAGGGAAGCTTGTGCTCTTTGGAGAGTGTGGGAAATAAGAGAAGAACTAGTTATTAAGGTGAATTTTTAATCATAGGGACTATCCAATAATGTCTAGTGACATTAAAACTAAACTAAGCTTTTTGACTGCAGTAATGAAGGGGATATAACATAGCATTAGGCTGACAAGGTGGGTCATGAATCCTGGCTAATCACATTTGGATTTGATGTTTAAAGAGAGCAGGAGAATATGTAAAGCAGAAATTATGAAACTCACAGTTAGCTTTAGGCTGAGGTTTCCTTGTATATCAATAATTACATAGTTAAACAAAAGTTTATAAACAAATGGTCAATCCATAGTTTAGTTCTAAAGCTCTCTCTTACCTTTCTTGGACAATGACATAAAGCACTTGGTTAGGAAGAATCAGTTTCTTGACAGAGGGAAGGAATTTTTCTAGGTTATTTTCTATCCCAACACTGTAGATGTTCAGTAAATAGTTGTTGGATAGAGGTTCAATCTGACACTCAAATTCTATTTGAATATTAGTATTGAGACTACCATGTACAGATGTCAAAATTCCTTTAATTACTCGGGGGCAGGGGGAGGTGGGGGTAAGGGGAAGCATTGAAGTTTTAAAGACACTTGTTTATGAGTTTTTAGAATTCAACTGCCTTGGCCTGGGTAAAAATGGGAGACTTTCTGGTGTTACTCCTGGCTTTACCGAATATACCTGAACCATATCCCTGATTGCAGTTTCCAGCTAATCTAAGGGAGTAGAAACATGCAGTTAAATGTGATCAGGAGCACATACACACAGGATCTTCCTAGGATGTGGTGATGCTTTGCTGGGCATGACTTGGTATGTAACCCTCAAAGTAAGTTTAATAGAGGGAGAGGAAAAACCTTGCCCTAATATTTATGTGAAAAGTCATTTGCAACCTAATTGGCACACTAAGGCTAGGAAATAAATTGTAGTAAGAATCATTTTTAGGATATTACACCACATTCTGCTTTCCTCATTCCCTATCTTTTGTCCATATTTTAAGGTTTTCTTCATTAGAACCCCAACCTCTGACTTCATATTTAGACTTGTTATTTTAGAAAAGTTAGCAAAGCTGATGTTCTTATTTATGGATACATTAGCAACTTAACCAATACTTAAGAGGAAAAAAAACTTTGCCAACACCCTTCCCCTCAAAAAAACTCAATTAAAAAAGCAGAGTTTAGACCTCAATCCACTGAATTTATATTTGGACAACTGAGTCCAGCTAGCATATTTTTATTTCCAGTGCATGATGCATTTAAAAATTGTCACATGAATAGATATATGTTTCATTTAGGCTAAAATTAGTAATAAATAGTGAATTGTAATGTTAAGATCAGAGATTACCACCAGAAAATCAAAATATAATAAAGTCATAGCAGTTAAAAATAATTTGATATCGGTGCCAGAATATACAAATAGATTGAAGGGACAAAGAATTCAAGAGTAGAATGGGTGATAAGATGGTGTTTCAAATCAGTGAGGAAAGGCTGGACTATTCAGTACATAATTTGCAATCACCTGGCTAATCATTGATGAAAAGTAATGTTAGCTCCCTACTTCTCACAAGTCACAAGCATAAATTCCAAATGGATTAAAGACCAGACCTAAGCTTAAAAAACAAAGCAAAACTAAATTATATGAGCATTAGAACAAGTATAAAGGAATATGTTTATAATCCTCGTGGTAGGAAAGACCTTAAAGAGCACATACATATATACAAAACTCAGGGGAAAAAATCTGGTATATTTATTCATTTAAAACTTCAGGACAACAAAAAAAGGCATTAAAGTGATAAAAAGGTCATTCCATAGGGTGACTTTCATTTTCCCTTTCATCAGTCCTTAGAATTAAGATGCATGTGACTTATTATTCTGTTTCTCAATACCAGCTTCAGAGATATGTTAAGAATGGGAAATAGGAATAACATAAAGTGAAACTTTAAATTGAGACTATCCATTCATTCATTCATTCATTCATTAATTCATTCAACACTTAAGTGTTCTAAGCAGGATGTGTCATAAACCAAATAATCTCTTGTGGAATTTGCAGCCTAGCAGTTGGAGGGAAGAAATTAAACAATAAAGATAATAAATAAATTATATGTTATATTAGAATAAATAAGGACTGTAGAAAAAAATAGGGTAGGAGGAATTAGGAGTGCATGGGGATGATGGTAGCAGGTTATAATACTAAATAGGGTAGATAGGGTCACTCTCTCCAAATGGTGACATTTTAGCAAAGACCTAAGGAGGTGACAGAGTTAGCCAAGCAGATTACTAGAGAAAGAGTATTTCAGGCAGAGAGAATAGCCAGGGCAAATCTCCTAAAGCAATTCACTGTAAGAATTTTTATTTTTAATCTGGGAGAAAAAGGGAACTGTGCAGGGTTTTCAGTGATATTATTTGACTCACATTTTTAAAGGATCCCTCT